GATGCTGTACAGAGGCCATATCTTTTGTACTAGGGTCTGTATTCAAGGTGGTCTGTAGTGTGTTGCAGGTGTCTTCTGATGTCCAAATGATCTCCCTTACAAGTACTATGTTGATGCCTTCTCTTACCTGGATTGGCCATTGGGAACTTTCCTTAGCCTGCTTGTGGGGGAAAGTGATATTGTAGGCTGATGAGGGATGAGAGATTGCAGTTACATGCCTGTCTGTAGTTACATTTGTGAATATATATCTGAATACTCCTCATGGTATACTGGGATATGATATGATGTGATTGCAACACAACTGCTGTCTAATATGACAGGATACTGTCTAATGGGCAATAATTATGTCTAATTAGCTAGGGGACAAACCTAACTTGTCTAATTAGATACGACTGCATAATGCAGCTAATCCTGCATGATTAGGCAGGATTAGACATAATTAGACTTATTCCGCTGGCTTTACGCTTTTCCTTCCTTATTAGGCAGGTGGCGCTCGGCGGTTTCCGGATATTTCCACGCCTCGCGCGACGCGTCGACGCGTCGCCTGTCCCGCTCGTTCCCCGGTGCTGCACCTCCCCGGGGGTGCTTTTGCTCTCCTGCAGTAGATAGAAGTTGATGTATATTACCAAAATGCGTGTAACTACAGATAATGTACTCAAAAAATCGTTCTATGTAGTCAGTTTAGCCCCCAAGAGCCGGGGAGGCATCCCGCAGGTGCAAAAGCACTCAGTTTACAGCATAAGTGCGCGAAAGCGCGGCATAAGCAGCGTAAAGCATTTATTTCGGTGGATTTACGCCGATTTACATGATTTACGGCCACGTGATGCATGGATTTACGGGCACGTCACGCCCTCCGTACAATCACATCAAGCCGCCGCCGCTTCGCGCGGCGTTCCCGAGCGCTTCTCCCCATCAAACCCCGAGAGCTTTGGCGCCCTTGTCGGGATACTCATTTCGGGACCCCAGGACGCGTGGCGTGTAATTAGAACGCGTCTGACGCGTCGAGGACCTATGTGCTCCTCCTCAAATAGCACTATTTATCGTATTTAGAGCCTTTGTATCTAGTAAGAATAATATGTACAGTATACCGCTTGTGTTCACCATGAATCTGGCACTACTCGGGACCTTTTAATGCAGTGGGACTTAGAATTTTCGCGCTCTACCCGCTACCTTGGGCCATCAGCCACCGTTGACCCCGGGTCACGGTAGGGTCGATTTACGTGGATTTACAGTACCTCACGTAAACTAAGCCAAATAACTGTACATAATTAGCTCAGGAGGGTTTTCCTGATGCACGCTCGGCGCTGACGTTGTTGCGTATGCTGTGGCCCTCATCCTTAGTGCCGTCCGCCATTGCCGAGAAAGTTATAACCACTGATAGATCGATAAGAACGACTCTAACTTTCTCTAGAAAATGGCAGCCTTTCTATCCGTAGTTGAGGACGACGAGGAAGTCTGAGGTTATGTAGAACGTCGACCCGAAGCCAATCATGTTTCGGCGCTCTTTGCCGAACTGTTGCCACAAATGCCATGCAGCGGTTTCGACTGGACAGGACTCACTGTCATGGTCACAACTGAGGGCAGTAGCATACATTGCAGAATCTGGCTGGACCTCATCTCAGGCTTAACTTTCTCTGTAGGCATACAGTTTACAACCTCCCAGTTGTCCCCCCTGTCAGTCCTGATCAAGGCTCTGACCTCCTTCTTGTCAGTCAAGTCATATGCCTTTCCGACCCTAAAGCCGCCCTTAAAGTCATCAACTTGAAACTTGAACCGTTCCGTTTTACCACCGGCGGTAACCACTCCCGAATCATCAACAGAAACCGGCAAGTCCTTGCCCGAGGAGACTGCAGTGATGGTGATATCGTCGGTGCTGATCATGATAGTTCCTTTGCCGTTGGCTATGTCGATTCGGAAGAGGGTGCAGTCAGCCTGAGTCCGCCAGAGACAAAAGAGGAGTTTCCGACGAGCTCGGGCAGTACCGGGACATGATCTCTGTTCGCTCCTCTCTACTGCAGGAGTTCGTTAGCGTTGGATGCCAGAAGTGCCAAGAGGTTCTGCGACGGTGTTGTGGCGTCCAGCGAGCCTATTGCATCGATTGCTGATAGTAACAACTACTGTATTGACCGTTTCGGTACGGGGAATCGTAAAGCTGCCGTAATCCTCTACGACTCGTGATCACTGCTGAGTGGTACTGATGAGTCTACGGATGCATCCTTACATATTCTGCCCCACCTTGAAGTTTCGCGAGGCAAGTAGTATACAACTATGTCAGATGCAACTTGACGACGTATTTTCCGAGCACCGTCAAGTCCACGCCTTGAAGCCACCTCGCTCGAATATGAAGTTGGTGTATAGGCTCGGCGTCGTCCAACCGCTCCTGCAGGTAATCGCGAAGGCAATCGAAAGGGTCGGACATACCAGGAGGTGGATCCCAGCGACGTCCCCACGATGGCTTGCTAAGCATCAAGCACATCAAGCGAGGAAGCATAACAGGACGGTACGCGTTCTGGTACCGCCTTGTCGTACTAAGCAAAGGAAGCACGTATGCAACAACGGTTGGATCGTCCGTGAGATCCAACGCTTCAACCTCTGTCATAGAATCAAGAAGACAGCAGAGATCACCTAGGGCAGAAAGATGGGGGATCTTATGTATTCTGAGAGCACGGACCGTTCTGAGCAGTAGTAGCGCACGCCCCTGTGTAATATCATACGGTGGGTGCATGTTGATGCGCACTCTAGATCCGAGGAAGGTGTTCAACGGCGGGTAACCACCCTCACCGATGTAATTCCAGGCTATGAATGAGAGAGGACAGTCACTCTCCAGTTCAACGGATAGTAGTGGTACAGTCCCGTCGCCCGTAAGGTATCGCTCCACGATCGTCATGGCAGCCTCGACCTGGTACAACTGTGCAGGCTTCGTAGGGGCCACTTCGATATCCAGGCGTACTGGGCGGCGGATCCTCAGGCAAGACATTAGGTTGACACAAGCCATCAGGTCATTGGTCTGGACAGCCAGTTCTTCCAGGAAGTCGAGCGGTACGGCTGTGATCTCGTCCTCTGAGCCCTCCAGCGTTGTTTCTACGTCGCAGAAGATGAGTCGTTCGAGTAAGCCTACGTCGGCTAAGGCGGTGGCAAGTCTATTGATGTCGATCCGCATCGTCGATATTTCGAGTGACTGGAGTCTCGCAAATACAGAGGCGCTGAGACAGATAAGATCCTTCCGTATGGTGAGGTGATATAGATAAGGAGCGTGCTTTCGAAAGAGAGTATCCGCGTCGGCAAGCCCCTTGACGATCTTGGGTTCAGCCAGTTCAAGGGATTCCAGTATCGGAACAGGGGGCAGGGAAAGGCCACATAGCGGAAGTAGTCTTCGCAGTGGGATATCGAGTTTGAGGGAGACGGCTTGGTCAAGATGCGCCAACTTCACTTTAATAGCGGCATTTAACAGCCAAGGTTGTATGGAATCCGGCTGGTCCAGAGTGAGATGCAGGCCACGACCGCGACTACGCTCGATTATGAGCTCCACTAATTCAGGGTGGGAAGTAGATGGCTTCGTCCAGAGCCTTCTTTTGCCAATAGCGACTGCACGCCAGTGATGGCAAACATGAGTAAAGGGAATGAGGACGTCGCTGTAGTCGTCTCCTTGCACGAGCTGGAATATCTCGGCCAGAGTTTCCTTGGTCAGTCTGTTAGGGCCACATTGCGAATTTCGCTCGACGAGGGTTCCTGCCTGGAGTCGTAAAAACTCCTTCTCCTTCTTGCGTTTCCATATAGCGACTTGATTGTCCAAAGGTTCCTCATCCGAATCGGTGTCCATAAAAGTAGACGCGTAGAGCAAAGGGTCTAAGGACGTGGGTCTTCACGAGATGCGGTGGTTTAATATTGGGGGTGTGAAGTAGCGGACACCAGTGTCGAAATCAAGGAAAAGTGAGAAGCAGAAAACGCGGAGCTGCATATTATGCCTCTCACCGTTGGGTATAGCTGAGCACTGGCGCAGATGCAAGGAAGCGGGCGTGTCGACGTGGCCCTTGGTAAAGTTGTGGTTGGAGAATGTGGCTTGTTGACTTGTTTGTCGCCGCGTGCTTTTCAGCCACGCTCACGTGAAGTGGGTCCACAGCGTGGCGCACAGGATAAATCCATCCTAATTATTGTACCCGGATTTCAGGACCAATGTCCGTTACGACGGAATTGCAGACGTCGCTCAGCGTTCATCGGAGAATACTACCTATCACTGTCTTGTATCAATTACAGCAGCGCGGACGACAAATTTGACAGATTTCGTTAGCCAAGCTGTGTGGCGGCTCTGTCATTCCCCAAGGCAGTGGACGATAAGGCGGTAGGGCCGTGCGAGCACGGCAGAGCCCGCTACCGTAGATATAGATGATATTTGGTAGGAAGCTGAACACTTTACATCCTGAGCAGCATCATATATATCTATTTTGCGAAAGCAGCTGTGTTCCAGCAATTATTTCTGACTGAGCATTCAACTCAATGGCCTGGGGTCCTGAGAGATGTCCACTCATCCCTCCCTCAGGTTTCGAGAATACAAGTTACATATGCAAAACAACTGACATTCAGAGTATTCTGATTTCACCTTGAGACTGCAAGGTCCAAGGCCCCAAGCAAGGTCAGTTCTGTCTCTGAGTCCCTTGACAATCATCCACCACCTTGGCTATAAAGGGGAAGAGAAAGGACACGTGGCACGACTATCGGGGTCCTTTAAGGACCCCACCTTTGATTGGTCCAAAGCCCTGTCCCGCTCTTGCCGTTCACCATATACGGTTAAGCGCCAAATAATGTCAAATAAATCGCGTAGATCTTGAAACGATCGCAGGAAACCTGCGAACGGCCGGGGGGTCCAAGACCCACTACCTACGGTAGCGGGAATAGACGCCACGCCAATCCTCAACATGGGACGAGTACCGTGAACTGTAAGAAATAGTGCACGCGCAATGAAATCCCTCCGTGGGATGGTTCCCTCTTGTACAAGAGTCGATATTCCCTGTAGGCATTACGGGAGGTCTGCTGACAACATTACCCAGGCAGGCACCTTGTGTCGGGCGGTCTGTTTGAACTCTGCACGTCAGCGTATCCAGCAACGTCCGTCAGATCCCGAAGCTTGTCGGCGGAGACAGAACCGGCGCAGCGGACGGCAAACCAGATATGCGGACAGAGACAGCGCATTCCAGCGGGGTTAATTAGGTGGGTGAGATGGTGAAAGATAGACGGCTTGAGTACAACAGTATCGCATCCGGATAAGCGGCGCTGGTAATGATGCCAGTATCAGTCGCATCGGTTTCGACAAACCTTGGGAGTCCAGGCCGAGCGACGAGACAGCCAATACAATGCCCTCCTTCAGCGGTAGAAAGATAGCTGTATCCTCTTGCAACTATATCTTGCGATAGAGTTTGCTCCATTCATTCAGGGCGGGAGAGACCCCTTCATCTCGGTAGATCCAGCCATTAGCAAGAGGCTTAGTAGAAACGGATTGAATAATGATGGAAGCGTGGTGTACAGCCAGCATCGTATGTCGAGAGGCCATAACCATAGCAGTTGGTAGATCAAGCGCTATGATCTCTGCGCCACGGTTGCATAGCATTCAGCTTGACCCGAACAAACCGAGAAGGACGGGCGGCCCATGATGTTTTAGTAGAGATACTTAGCATCAGGCCCGTGCAGATCCATATGTTTCGAGAGGGCTTCACGGAGAGAGTAAGGACCGAAACGCTAAACAGCGTGTGGGTTCATGGAAGAAAGACAAATCAGGAAGAGGTCAATTGCGACATGTGCCCGAAACGGTCTACGCGATGTTAGGATGGTGGGATGATGAGATAAGGCCTGTGCCTATTGGAGTGATTGATAGCTGATCGCGACTTCGGTGGCGGTGATGCAAGCAGCGTTCTGAGACCTCCCATCCATCGCTACATAAACCGGCCTTAACCCCTTGCAAGCAATCACACCTCCTGCCCTTTTCTCTCTCTTCGACGTCGGACACGATGAGCTCTGCTGCTGCAATCCCGAAGTCCCCCCCGTCGCCCGGTGTCGGCGCGCGTCGCAAAGGGCCGAAGACGCTCCCCAAACTCCCCCTCTCTGCATTCTCGCCGCCAAACTCTGGCACGTCGGAGAAGTTCCCCTTGCCGCCGAGTCCGAGTGCGGTGCACCCTGAGACTATCGTGGATGCTGAGATCGTTGACGTGAGCGCATGGAAGAAAGATAGCGGTGAGGAGCTGGGTGGTAAGATAAGCGGACTCGTGCTATCCCTGAAGGATAAGGGGAGTGAAGAGGCGGAGAAGATTGTTGACCAGTACGAATATTTTCCATCTAATATGCTGCCCTGAGCGAATATATTCGGATAGACTGGAGACTACTGTGGAAGGCATCCCGGTCATCGCCGCCCTAGTTCCGTTCACCCTCGAAGATGGCGTCCCAGCGAGCGCACCATCCTACCTCACAAAACCGAGCAAGGTCCCCGTCGCACTGTCCACATCCTTCTCCACCCCCACCGCGCACTGCGTGTCCGCGCTATCCTGGGCGCTCAGCCAAGATCGCGTCGTCGACATCAGCGTCCAGACGGACCTGCAGAACGGCGAGGCCGGCTGGGAGACTCTCGAGGACTTCATGACGAAGTCAACGGCAGAGCTCGTCGGCAAGGGCACTATTGTATTGTGTAAGTGTGTTGTCTTTCCGTGGCGTCACTCCGTCTGACGCTGGGTACTAGCCAATATCCTCCCCCCGCCACTTGACCTCTCGTTACCGCTTGTGAAGCTCCTCACACACTACACATATCGTGCATTCCAGTCGCACACTGCCGCGATCTCGCTGTTTCCGAACGTATACGTGAAGTACCTCCCGCCAGCTTGGGAAACCGATGCAAAGTCTCTTGACGATGCGCAGCTGAAGGAGTGGAAGCGCCGTATTAAGATGTATCGTGAGTAGCATCGACACATATCCTGCGTTACTTAGCCATTGATGGTTATTCCGCTGCGTTCTCTTCTAGTCGGCCACGCCATCGAGGCCTTCGGCCAAGAACGTATAATATTCGGCTCCTCCCCAGCGCACCCGTCTCTGCCGTCCGGGACGTGGTACGAGCTGGCTAGGGAGTCCCTGGCTGAGCTGGGTATTGAGCAGGAAGGCATCGACGCAGTGTTCGGCGCCAATGCCAAGAAAGTGTATGGTGGATCTTCGTGATCTCGTGGAGTTGTCTGCGAGGTTGAAAATAGTATGAAGTTAGTGTACTGTATTCTGTTCGGTGTCTGGGTGCGTTTTCTCTGCTGATTGGTTTGGTAGTGTAACCAAGGCATGGTAACATATATCGTAAAGCTCGATATATGGGTAGAGATGCGAAGTATTCGAGTGCCTGAACTGACTGAGATATTTTGACAGTGATTTATGGTACGTCTGTCAACGTCAGTGGCTGCCAGTAAGGATCGCAGGGCGCCTAGATACCGGCGACTCGCAAGTCACCGAGGCTGCGATTGAGCCGCACTGGTCCCACAGTGAAAGATACAGTGCTGTAGCCCGAGTATAAAGCTTTGGCCTATTCTACCCCTAGATGATGATTGTCTGGGGACGGCTGGTCTGTAACTTGTTCTGTGCATCGTTGACACCTACGTGGGCTCGGGTCCCCGACTCCCACGGTAGTTGGGAGGAGGGTTCTGTCGGGAAGAAATGGTCGCTCCACCATACAACTCGCTCTCGCCGTGAGAACCTCATGTAAGCAACGTCCCGACCGGACCGACGCCACTTTCGTTTCGACTTGAAGACAACTGCCCACACACACCTGACGTGAAAGGTCAAAGTGATGCAGTGCATTCAATAAAAGGATGCATTGACACAAGCGAGGCTGACAAATGTGACTAGTATCTCTGAGCGGGAACTGGGAGGAAGCCCCTTTAAATACTGATGTAGATATAAGACAGGACTTTATCGATACTGTGTATGTGTCCGTACGCGTCAAGACTGGCATTCCGCAACTTGACCAGACAGTAGTACTGGAATACTTGATGGTTTCTGACTGGAGTCGGGGATTGGTGCTTGCGCCGCTACGATTAGGGGTTCACTGCACCTCCGATTCGCAGTAGGGTTGTTCTTCGTGCACATGGGGAGACATTCCCCCTCCACAATAGTGACACATCACAGCAGTGATGATAACTGGGACAGGCTCGCTACAACTGAGATGCATTCGCAACATCTGCATCACCAGGCCTTGGAGTAGAAATTTGGATCAATGTCGTAGAATGTAGTACAGCGGAAAGGTGGACCAGCATATGCTTAACGCCTTGAAAAACATCTACGAGATACGGGATCGAACGCGATATGAGAGCAAGAAGAGGATGCCAGTAGCCCATTCCACGGTGCCTCAATACCTATTGAGTCAAACCTGGTGCGGCGGGCGTGCCTGCGAGTTGCGACATAAGGAGGAAAGAGAAGCACGGATGTTATGTATGGGAAGAACATACCTCATTGTGGGCGTCCATCACAGATGCATCATTGCCGGCGTAAGAGCGTTGCGCCCACATGTCGCGCTCAAGATGGCTACCTCCCTATATACCAATGGTGCCAGGTCTGATGCATCCTCAGTAAATTAAAGTATAAACCCAATATTAAAAAAAGACAGGTGTTGGGTGACCACCAGTACACATCATAAAGGCATAAGACCCACCTCCTCGATTCCTCGATGCTTCTCTAATTTAACCCACCATTTGTGGGCGTTTGTGGGCGACAGAGTTCGGAGGCTTTGGATGAGAAGAACGTCACGTGGGAGAAACGCGTTACGCGTGACGACGCGGTGTTGTCCGAATGTTCTGCAGCTATACTCTCAGCACGCTGTTACTCACTTATGCAGCAGGCAAGGACCCACAGACCTATCTTCTGACCAAAACACATCTACTGCTTTGACATATTATGTTACCGGTTTTTTCTGTCAGGATCGCAACATTCCGAGACCTCTTTGCCGCCACAAACAGCCACGCTTCATCACGAATACCTCTTGATCTGTACTTGTCCTCTGCTCGGACTGTGTGCGTACGTGTATCCCATACCCGCCTGAGGTTGCGCAAGTGGGTGCTATATGGCCAGGATTGGTGAAATGGACAGTGACGATGACGGAGAAATCGGGAGGGGAAGGCAGAGCCGCGGTGCGGAATCAACCTCGTGAGTATGTCTGAACATGCATAACAAAGTTCTGTCCATGATATACCCAATGGCTGGTTTCAGAAGCAGCCGAGAGTCTTCTCCTGTGAGTACTGACCCTACCTATCCGGCACTTCCCTATGACTTATAGCCACACCGCATGAAATCCCACATGCATACCTCTCGTTCATCGTTTACTATGGGAAAGAGCAACACAAAGCGCCGGAAGCGCCCGTTAACGCCGGCCTCGGACGATGACAGCGTCGTTATACCAGAGGATCCCACCGCGTCGCCCCCTCCCAGTCAGGTGCAGCCGCTCATACGCCAGGCCGTCGGTTTTGGCTCGGCGCTCGGTCAGAGCTCTGCTGACATTCCCATGTACCAAGCTACTGCCCCCGAGCAGCCTCTACCTGCAGACCGATACCTACCTGGACAGGCCATCGGGCTATCAACCCCTTCCAATGCTCCTGTTGATAACAGACGTGAAGACCGAGTGCGCGAACATGATGCTGCAGGAGACCAACAATTCCGATTTTCCGCCTATCAACCGCCGGCAACTGCGACAGGCACTGTCCCCTCGACTTCTTCCAAGGGCAAAGGCAAGGCGAAAGCTTCGACCGGGCGGAAGAAGAAACGGTTGGATGAGCAATATGCTGGTCAGGTGGATAAGTTTCGAGTCAGCTATAATATGGGATACACTCTCCCATCCCAGGCGCAGCGAAACTATGCAGGCACCACCTCTCCTCACCCCACGACTACGACCATGGACACCCGTTCCGCTCGCGGGTCCCCTGCGCCCACTATCATCAAAGATTATTCCTTGTACTTCGATGCTCCCCCAGGTACTCATACGCTACAGGTATCGGGTCCCTCGACGTCAGGACAGCGTTCGCTCACATCATCTTCCTCGAAATCATCCACCCCAGCACCCTCATCGAGCAAAGGAAAAGGGAAGGCAAAGGCTGAGACGAAGGCTGCATCCAAGGCTTCACATGGCGAGTCGTCTAATTCGAGATCTGGCAAGCCATCCGCAGGGCAGACCTCCACCGATTCCGCTACTCATGTCTCAAACTCTGACGCCTCAAATTTTGAGCACTCCAACAACTTTGGGTATGGCAATGACCAACAGCGAGCTTCCAGTCTCAATTTACACGTTGCGTCTCCCATCAGTCACCCGTCCCATACCAGCCCAAGAGCATCATCGCCTATCCAGCAAAACACCGGTTATGGGCGTAGACAGATGTCACCTTCGGCTAGTGGTACAGGGTCGGCCTCTTTGAGAGCATCCACATCTTCTAGTGAGTACAGCTCTCTCGAATACGTCTACTACTCTGACCAAGGACCTCGTCCTGATCATGGCAGAAGAACCCATGGGATCACATCGCAAGTCTCCGAAACAGCAGCAGCAGCAACCGTCTGCATCATATCCGGGCGCGATGCGAATGGTGACACTCCTCATCGAGGATCTCCGCAGCGGCCATCGGGACCCGCAGATCGCGGAAGTGCAGGTTCATCTGCGACCACATGACGATCCCGAGCACGGTTTCTGGGCCAACGCCAGGGAGATCTCGGAGCAGCTGCAAGCTGGGCCATCCAGGATCGACGGTGCGTGCCCATGACAAGCCGGGTCCGGCGCAGTCTGACTGTCTACAGGGCCGGCGAGGGTGTTCTCTCTTCGCGGGAAATATCGGCAGTTCTTCCTGCGGGTGTCCCCTGATAACCAAGATCTTATGGCTTCTGCGAACCTGGCTGTAGAAAAGGATAGATCCTTGGAGGTCTTCGTAGAAGACGTGAGTCTACAGAGCACTATTTGTTTTGCGAATGATTGGGATTAAGTCGGTCGTGTAGCTTCCGCGAAACGACGGCCACGTGCTGCCTCCCCCTGTCGTGGGCCGTGATCCAGACACGGACGAAGAAATGCAGTCCATGAGTACTACACGGTCCACCGGACAGCCTTCCCCCGCTATACCACCATACATTCCTCCATCCAGCCTCCCTCCCAAACGCAGGCGTGGGATGTCCAACAGCTCATATGCTTCCACCGTCCAGCAACAATCACCGTACACATATACACCAACGATGTCCGTCATGTCCCCTCAATATAGTGGACGTTCGCCATCTCCTACGTCCTATCGGTCACCCCCAGCGGGCTCTCCTAGTAAGAAATCAAATGCGTCGAGTTATGTTCAGTGGGACTGGTCCAGCTCCGCGTATGGCCAGCATCCACCACCAACTCATCAGCAGCCTGCCTCCAATGGACCGGATGCGGCGAGCGGATCGTCGTCTCATCAGCCGCCGACTCGCAATGAGATTAACGACGCCATCGTCGCGTGGGTGAAACCCCAGATCGAGGAGCATTCAGAATGGATGGCGTACATGAAGTCCAAAGCATTCCCTCTCACTGCCTCTGTGGCTATTTCTCAGTACCGTTTCGTACAAGGAAGGGTAGAGTTCTTCCATGGTTCTACGACACCACCAGATCTGCCGGTTGCTCCAAAACAGAGGATTGGCAAGGTTGGTTCAGGTTTCAGTGCTGTATTTCTTGTCCCCGCGTTGAATTGCACGTTGCCTTCCAGCCTCACGTTCTCAAGGCCATGAACTTAACCACCCAATGGGGCGCTGAATGTTCCGAGACCCTGAGATTAGTGGACATGTACGGGCCTAAAGGATCAAGATACCCGGATTCTAGAGTAGTGGATATCCTGCAGGAAGATCCGAAGAAAGGTCCACTCCCTCCGGGCAGTGCTCCAAAAAGGCTGTTGAACCTCTTGCGGGAAATCCACAACGACTGGATCACTGATCATCCGGAGGATGCTGACTGACCTTCGCTGTTGGGCGAGTTGCCTGGTCTGGCATTTACGCCTCACCAGCCCTTCGGAGGGGCTCGGTCTGAGGCACCTTATGTCTCTCTGCACCATTGATGAAGACGGGCTCCCGAGCTCCCGACGGCTGTAAGACGAAATTTGGCGTCTATCGAATTCGCGATCAATGTCGGAATATTGCTGACATACCCGCGATCGGCACGCCTTTGCGGGCGCCGTGTGCGGCCACAGTGAAGTCTCCCTGATCACCGGGGAGAACTTAGGCATGCCTACGAGACTGACAATCGATGAATGCTTGGACAGCGCTTGTAGGTCTCGTGCTGCAATCTGCGTCGGTGGCTTCTCGTCATGCCCGTTTGGTGGTTTTCTTCAGGATCAGGCACCAAGCAACTCAAATCTGCTGCAATCCTTGTTCTAAGTTTCGGTCCACCTAGGATATCTGCTGCAGTCGACCTTAGTGGGTACCATGGTAGACACGTTGTGGCCAAGGGCTCTGCAGCCTTCTCCCCTGGCACTAAGGGGATCTGAATGAGATAATTCAAGGAGGTGTGTATCTGAAAGAGCGATATGTATATGACAGGTATTTAAACGAGTAGTATTTAATTCCGTCCGAGGTTCAGACATTCGCGCATGTGGGGGAGGACGATCAGAACAGTTGCCCGTTTAGGGCAACCCATGCTTGTCTAGACTCCAGATCCAATCCTTCCGTGGTATTCTCTGCTGCACTAGCATTCCAAGATACGAAAGGCAACTGATTCACCTGGCAGACGGTACGATCGTTGTCCGGCGCCTTGCCATATAGCATGTACGACTGGACAATTGGCAAAGTGCAGAAGGACATCTGGCTCATGGCCGTATGTCCGAAGCCGCCAGGCTGCTCCAGCAACCTAGCATTATTACCGAGACGCTGAGCTGCCCGTTCGGCGTTGGTGGAAGGAGTCACGGGGTCGTTCCCTTGACTGCCACATATGAGTATGGTGACAGCGACCCCATAGTGTAGAGGGGGAGCTCACGTAAAGATGAGGATGGGCGTCTTCAATATGCCATCGGGTAAACCAATAGAACCGTTGTAACGACTCTGACTGTAATAAATGCTTGGCCAGTACTGACAGAGATGGGCAGTGTATCCCAGCTCTCCAATCTGGGGCGAGTTCTGCTGTAAAGCCTGAATTATCTTGTCCGATTCTTGCTGCACTGAAGGAGATGGGTCCAGCTGACGCGCGTCATTGCACTGTCCAAGAAAGCGGGTAATTAGTGCCGACCACCAAGACCTCCAGGCCCTGCTTACAGCAATCACAGCATTGGCGTACGCAGAGAGGTCTGGCTTGGTCTTGTCGTTAGCGTCAATGGGTGGAAGGATAGCTTGGACCAAAGGAGTATAATTCCCTGTGAACACCTGATCCAGAGTGGATGCGAGGTCCGGCCAGTCGATAATGCTGTACATGCCGTTCTGAAGTACACCTCGCAGGAGGCTGGCGTCTGCCACTGCGGGATAGCCGACATCAGCCACGGACACAGGTGAGGCATATAGAGAGTCCAGAGTGGCATTAATCTTCGCTATGATGCCACTTGACGTCAGTTTAGACAGTGGGCATGCAGCTCCAGCCGCAGCACAACTATCCGCAAATCCCTGCAGGACATCGCCGATTTCGGTCGTTGCTGAGGTGCTACGTGAGCCGTGTGTCGCAGCAGAGTATTACAGACTTGCTCACTTGACGGGGTTTCAGAGAGAGGATCATTTGCCCAGAGCTGGGAATCCACGACGCCATCGATGATGATGCGACCCAATCGCTCAGGAGGGAGTATTTGTACCATGTACTGTCCGATGATAGTGCCGTAAGACCATCCCCAGTCTATATATGCTAGATGACGCCACGGAAGATTTCAAGGAAGGGCCGAGTACTGACAGTTTATGAGGGCGTTCTCTCCATCAAAGGCCTTCACCATAGTATCAATATCATGTACGACAGCCTCGGTTCCTGCTTCTGTGAGTACTGCGCCTTCACCAACACAGCTATACAACGTACCCATAAACTTGAGGACGTCTCCGGTTCTCTGGTAGCACTGTGCAGACAAGGAAGAGATATTGGATGATACTAGTCCTAATTGCCTTGTCAGGTCTTCTCCTACATAGGCGCTAATATTGGATGGCAAGTTGAGACCGAAGTTCCGCGTGGCTCGGGAGAACATTTCTTGGTCGTAAAGGCTATCGAAGCAAGAGATGTAAGGCTCAGATTGCTTCACACCGCGCGGATCGAATCCGATTATATCATACTGTCCTTCGATGTACCTGGTGAGCAACCAAGTACAGGTAAGCCGGGCGAGAAAGCAATATACCCTTTAGAACAGCCGACAGACTCTGCCCCGCCTCAAAGCTGAGACCTGAGCCGGAGCCGCCTGAGGGAAGGGTTAGCGAACATGGAGTAGAGAACAAGCCTGGATATTAGACTACCAGGTCCTCCAGGATTGAGGAAGATGCTACCAAGTCTACAACATGTCATTCATGGCGACAATAGTGCAATTGGCGAAGGGCAACTCGCCTAGTTGCATTGGTCGCGGGTAATCGAGAAACGAATATCTTCATGGTCCTCGGGTCGCTTACATTATTATAATCCCAGGGGACGGATACATTAGCACAAAGGAAGCCTTCTGGGCCGGTATTACAGGGACCCCACTGCACGTCGCCGCTGTTTGAACTCGTGAGCGTCAAGTCCTCCGTTGCAACACGCGCATAAGCGTACGACAGTCTTGGATCCGATGCACTTCCAGCGACTGTAACCGACAAGAAAGCGAGAGCGTAAACCAACCTGAGGAGGTTGGGAAATAATGACATTCTTCCACATGTGAGCTGCCACACGTAGTATCCGTTAAATATCTGGGGAGAATAAAGTTTGTCGCGATGATATCGGACAGAAGCAACCTGACTGTCGATACTACAGGGCCTGCCAATTGGATGTCGTGACACTAGGATGCGATCGAGGAGTAGTGAGATATTCAATCAATGTGCCCTGCGAAATCGAAGCTGTACATTACATTGCGTACGTACATCTTGGCTGACTGCAGTATATGCCAGGTGACTCGAAGTCGCCTCGATTTCCTCTTGTTTTTCCGGCGCACTCCAAGAAAAATCCCAAGCTTAATCAGTAAGAGCTCAAACGCAAGACTTGGAAGTGTCCACTCATCGTCTCTCTCGTCTCCGCGAGGGCGACAGGTAATCTTGAAATCTCTGAGACAACTCTTCTCAGTGCTGTATCTAGGGTAATGATTGGCGTGCAGCCGCCATGGGGACATAGCAACACGGTCTTCAAAGCCTGCCCGACCTTGACGCCCACCACTGCCCATCAGCGCTCGCCAGCTTCGATCCAGCAGTGGACGTGGATCCATGGAGGGGATTCTGTTACAATGATAACATGGATTGACCCAGAATATGCTCAGTGCACGCGCACTTCATTGAGCACGCCAGGGAATGTTGAGAGCTCGAGGATCCAAGAGGGGGCAAAGATCCGGATCTCTGACACGGACACCATCAGTAGGCCCCTCTTCAGTGTCTGGGGTCCCAAATCGCGTTAAAAACGGTCATTCTGCGTCTTAGACGTTTCCCTCATTCGATATCATATATAATGCTGCAGGAGGAGTCCTCTCATGTAAAATATGCCATAGCACCAAAAAAACCGCCAGAAAATACCGAGAATTAGTGAATAGAAATCTCACCGACCATCCATCGGGTCACGTGACAGAAGCGTCCGCGCGATATTGGACTCCGCGCGTACTCTTTCACATATCCGCGTACTTTACCCTCTCAGCGAAACCGGTCGGCGATACTGGCGATTATCTAGGCCGCTGCTACATGAGCTTTGCAAGCGAGACCTTCAGCAGCAGTCCAATGATTCTATTACATGCAGTATAATGGTATGACGGTTCATTTGCACTTTTATTGCCATGCACGTATATAGAGCTCCATATATATATCACTGCATTTTTGCACACATAATGCCAGAACACAGCATACCTATGAGACGTGCCATATATATATATTTTGAAGCCAGAGTAATCCATGTATAAAAACAAGTTCCACTACATATTCACAACAAGTAGCCAAGCATGGCCATGGTCGTGGCCATGGTCATGTTCGTACCGAAGGTAGTACAATCACCGAAGTCTAGTGAACGCACCAGCCCACCGGCATTTGCAAGCAGCCTACACTCCCATACAACACGAATACTTGCTTCAGGCATTGGTACTTTACATAAAAGATACCATAGGAAACAATGCGGTCACGCCCATGGGCTTCGCTTGGGCTTGCCCGGCGATTGGAAACCCGTACCATCTGCTTCCAGACCTCGAGCAGATCCAAAGGTTGTACCACTCCCTCCACTCCCAGACGCATTGTCAACAAACCCTCCCGCAATGCCAGAAGGTCCGGCTTGCATACCAAACGAGAAATCTCCCCAACCGTTGTCAAACAGACCTGGAGCAGGCATCAGTGGGTCGGCCACAGAAGTCTTCACTGTTGAGAGAAATATTAGGCTGGCATTTCCTCATCGGCTAACTTCCACAGCTCACCTTGCGGAGACCCAAGTACGTCCTTTGCCTTCTTGGCTGGCCCCTTGACCCACTCAATGTCAGAGTCACTATCATCCAGCGTTAGCCGTTTATAGCCAGCAGGTTTCACCCTCTCAGTCGTAGCCAGTTCCTTCCCCTTGCCATACCGCTGTACTGACTGATGACCAGGACCTGCCACCTCGCCGTTTCCATGATCCTCCCCTCCGTCATCTCCCTCATCAGAAGAGCCTGAAGGCTCACTGGGCGTGAGTACAGAGAGTTTGCCTCCTCGTCCAGAGATGACCCTGCTCTTGCCCTTGTAGGCTGGCCTAGGCTGGGGTCGGGGGGGAGGTGTGGGATCAAGACCGGTCTGTCCATCATCCGAGACACCAAGTAGCTCTTCATCTGTAGTGGGATCGCCTAGGTCTTCAGTGGGTGACATTGGCTCAGTATGGCCCTGGCGGGCTTGCTCTGTGGCCAGTTCCCAGTTCTCGTATACCTGTTTGGGGAGGGGTTTCTTGGTGGCTAAAAAATGTTGAGCAGTAGCAGCTAAGGATGCGTACAGCTACGCACTGAAGTACAATTTCATATCCTCCGGACTCCTCCCAACACCCCTGACTTTATGCAAATCGGTGCCAGTCACCTCCGACTTACAAACGGCAATCAGGCGCTGCCTGTTCCTGGTCAAAAGCGCCCAGTGGTAGCAGCCTTCCTCAGGGGAACCATAGCGGGCATCCATGTAAGCAAAGACCTCAGGGAAAAGATCGTGCAGCCAGTTGTCGATTGCTTGCATGCTCCACTCCTTGTAGAACTGGAATACGCCCTCAGTGAACAACCTAGATTCCCTATAACCTTTCTCGCCATGCTTGCCGCCCTCAATGTCATTGGGAGTAGGGGTCCGATCACGTTTAAGCTTCCCATTGGACTGTTGTAGAGTAGCTTGGTGAATATTTTAAGAGCGAAGGTACAAAAGGTAGATGCCTACCTTCAACCCGTACGGAACCATGACAACACCACCGACAGTGACACCCTTCATGGCTGAGGTCTTCTTAGTCTTGAACTCCGGCTTGGACTTGGACTTGGAGATGGAAGGCTAATTTAGAACCAGCACTCAGAGGTTATTCGTCTGGGAGAGGCGCGGATACATCACCTTGAAGCGTGTTTTGCCTCCCCGTCCCTTCACCAATGCTCGTCCGTCATCCTCATCATCCTGGACAGCCCTTAGCCCTGCGACAGCCTCCTTCCTTGCATTCTCTTCACTGGTCTTCTCCGGCATCTGGAGTCGCTTGAAGCCATTGGAATACGTGTCGACAATAGAGTACATTAAGGAGTCACGACCAGACTTAGCAGGAGCTCTTGCACTTGATCCATCCTCTGCAGCGTGGAGGCTGGCATTGTGGCCGCATTCGCATACCTTCTTCTTTTTCTTCTTCTTTCGCTTCTTCTTGTCGTTCCCGGTGCTGTGGTCGGACCAGCCCACGTCAGTGTCTGAAGAAGAAGATTCCTCCAGAACAAAACGCTGGCAACGACATGGCTGGCTATCATTGCCTAAGCCATTGCAGTAGGGCATCCTAGAGCACCAGTGAAGACAGTACGGCGGAGGGAGCCAGAGCGATTTGGGAGAAGCTTCCTGAGATTTGAGGAGAGAGCAGGGGGCGGATGCCGCCACAGGCAGTGGCTTAGCCAGATCAGATCTTGAAGGCAGAAGATTTAGGACCTGTCATCCATATTGCTAGCCGTGTGCTCATCGGCAGCCATCCTCGGCTTTCTCATTCTGCTGTACGGCTCAGAGGAATAGTAGGCATGGGCACGAAGCTCTAGTATTTCCATAGGTTTCAATCTTGACCAACATCGGCGGGCCATTCCCTCATTCCGACACCCCTTCCCATTCATTCATGCATAGATACCGTCCACCAGGTTGAACTCCAAGCAGCCTCCGCCATCTCTGCCGTGGCACCGTCTCAGGCCGGACACGAGAGCATCGGAATGGCGGGGAGCGACCGGCAACTGCGCATCTCAACTTTACCCGCCGCGCATTCCCGAGGGAACATGGTCAGCGTCTTCGGCGGTCATCCGCATTGCCCACACCTGGAGGAGGAACGTACGCAGGTGCAGCACCACGACTGTCGCGCGGTGCCCCATCTCGCACATTGTATCGCGTGGGGCTCCATTGTGTTGTCTGCATGATCATGCGATCTAAAGTGAATACGGAGAAAGGGAAAACCCTGTGGAAAACACTGACCAGTAGTGGGAGTATAGCCTGGCTGTGTGATATGCATAACGTCATTGAGGAAGCTAGGAAGTGAATGTAGAAATGAGAAACAGAAGTAATCTGATGAGGAGGGAGAGCGGAGACGTACAAATGTAGTCCGCCAACGTGTCCTGAGCGTACATTACGCCCGAGCACTCGAGTTTGTGTTGCGCACACACGAAGAAGTATGCGCGCACGGTGGCGAAGGGGCCGCGTTCGCGGGAGAGGTGGGCGCGCGCGTCGAGGTAGAACACGGGTCCGCTCCACCTGCAGTCGCACGTCCTCGCGTGTTCGCATTGCGCACACGCTGCGCGCGCGGTGAGGAAGGGGCCGCGTTCGCGGGAGAGGTGGGCGCGCGCGACGAGGTAGAACACGGGGCCGCGGGACCAAGACGACGGTGCCCATACGTGTTGCTGAGTAGCTCAGCATATCTAGAAGTAACCATGAGATGTCAGATGTCAATCTGTTAACTGTGTAATGCAAGACGCACCGAGCCTCCCCACCCATAGCCCAAGCCATCCTGAGCCAAAGCTAGCGTGAGGCCGCCAACGTTGACGCCGCGTCGTTAATGTTGGTAAACGCGGCAGATGCAGACTTCTGATCATGCTGCTACCGCGCCGCGATGACACGTACGTGTCGGCGCGCATGCTGCCTATCTGGAGAGTGAATGCAAATGGCGGCGAGTTAGGTTGCGAGTCATAGCCGTATGTCGATACGCTGCTTGAGCTTGCACAAATCCGCTAAGTCCGCAAACCGCTCAAGCGTCACACGTTCGCGTTCGCGTCCGTGGCGCTTGTCGCGTCTCGATACCGGCTTACTGTCCCGCCAGCGTGTTCCCCGTAGCTGCAGACGCCAGCGCACGGGCCTCCTGTTGCTTACTTATAATATCTGGTGGCTCTCTGTCAATCTCTCCACAGCCCACATCTTCATTGTCGGACACCCGTAAGGTCCTCTGGGATTCCCTGTACCCTCGACGCGTATCTTGGCTGCACTCGATTCGGGTCCCGTATTCGCGCCTTCGAGCACCCTCGTGCGTCGGAAGGATGCATCGTGAGTGTACATTCTTCTTGCACTTACGAGGATTCCCCGGCGATTCCACGTCTCTGTTGCCCCCAACGTGCATGCGTAGCCTGGGTAATATTGCGGACCCTCGTGTGTTGGCAGGCCGTGCGTGTTGCGGTCGGGGTTGCTTGGAGCGTGGTTTGCGGCCCATGGTGCCTCATTGGTGCTGATGTGACCATCCTGTGCTTATAATCCGATGTTACAGCCATTGCCTACGCGTGTCGGGTTTTCCGAGAGGTGAGCCGTTGAGTGTTGGCCAACCAAGATCTTCATTGACATATCATAGCTCAAAGCACTACTACCTGATGGGAGAATGCCTGAGGCCTCGGGCAGTAGGGTGACTCGCTCAGGGCGAGCGTTTTCACCATGGACTGAGGACAACACCATCAGGCCCAAGCAGGCTCTAAACGTCGACTCTGCAGTATCACGTTGCGAGGCCTATGCTTTTGAACGCGACTTAGAGGAGGGGGCTGCAGCTTATGATGAGGACGACTATGAGCTCAGGGATGAGCTGGTCTGGCCTGATGGCACCAACGGTGAGTAACTCATTGTCTTTGGCATTCAGGCCCACTCTTACGCCCAGTCTGGACAGCTATTCCTACCACCACGAGCATTCGCTCTGCCACGCCTCTCTCCTCTGCCACGCCTCTCTCCTCTGCCACACCGGTTCCTTCCACCGTACCTATTCCTTCGGCTACGCCTCTTCCTTCACAGCCTGGGCCCAACGCCCTTCCTTTTACACCAAAGGAGAAAAAGGCTTTTCAGCGCCGAAAATTCAAAACCGCCAATCGCAGGATTCACTACGAAGAAAAGCAAGCAGCGACAAAAGCCAAGAAACACCACGCCTTGAAACAAAAGTCCATCTCCTTCAAGCGTGCGAGCGATACCCAGCCTGTCCCTACTGTCAAGCCTATAGCCAGTCTTCACCGAGGCAAATCAGGCCACCAAGGTAAAATGTTGAAGGTTGGCGAACCTGAGATGAAGGAGTATAAGCTGGACGACCCAGAGATACAGGAGATGACCTATGTGCCCTGGGATGGGATGTGAGTTACTCCCCTCATGTGGCATGCCAATCACTAATATGTCTTATAGAACTCCAAAGGCCGTTGGAGACCCAACATCTGATGGCGAAATTCTCGTTATGCTGGCAGGGTCTCCTCGAGGCCAAGGGTGGGAAGAAGTTCATAAAGGTGCATTCGACGCTCTGGAAAGAGAAGGGGCCAGGTTCCACTGCCCTGACTCAAAGAAAGTCCATCGTCGGGGTAAATTCCCTGAGGCAATTACGGGGGTGTCTTATGGGGGAGGGAGAAAGGTAAGTGTTTTGCGGTTTCGGGAGACCGATATTCACGTCTGTTGCCACATAGGTTCCTGGTAATGTTGCAATCAATAGTGTCATCAATGCCCTGGTGGTCCGGTCATTGTTGGACAACGTATATATCCAGAGAATTGTGGGATTTGCCAACCGTGAGTCTTCTTCCTGATCGCCTTCATGTTGAGCTGACTCTGTGCTTCAGAGGCCTTTGATCTTTATGCCCCAAAGCTATTTAGATACTACTCCTCCACCATGGACAACATATACGAGGCATACCCCAACCTCCAACGGCTCTTCAAAAAATCTGTGTTCGCCAGCTATGCATTTAATTTTGGCCCTTTGGTGCGCACATTTATCCACACGGATCACCTGAACTATGTATGTGGATGGTGTCCTGTGACGGCTCTTGGATACTACAATCCCAAGACAAGCGGCCATATTATCATATGGCCATTGAAGCTGGTCATCGAGTTTCCTCCAGGGTCCACCATCTTTATTTGCTCCGCCATTCTGGAGCATTCTAATATCGGTGTTCAACCAGGTGAGAAGAGGGCTTCCATGACCATGTTTACCGCAGGTGGATTATTCAGGTGGCACGACTTTGGGTTTCGCTCTGCTAAATCTTTTGCTGGGGAATATGGGAAAAAGGTGGCTGAAGAGGCCAATGCGGCGCGTTGGAAGGAGGGGATTGCATTATTGCCCAGGTTCTCTGACCTCAAGAGTACCGTAAACTAGCACTACTCCATGTTCTTGGATACCTAATGCATTACTCGCTACTCCCACTGTCAGACCCTGATATGCCTGCTGCTTCCTCATAAATGGCCTGAAAATGAGACAAGAGCGTCAATGCCTTCCCCCACACCACTGCCCTGGGCCACCATGTATTGAATGGGAGACCGATGTCTACGTACTTCCTCCCGCTTCTGATGGCCTCTGCCTCAGGGTAACCCCCTTCAGGCCACTCGTCATTTCGTAGACCTAGACCGGTAGGCACAATGTCTGTAGCCAGTAATTCATCCAGTGCTTTGAGGAAGTCAGCAGTCAAGTCGGCCGGGAAAGGGCTGGATGTCTTTGGAACTGGGATAGGGTCATGTCGGACGTGCCGTTCCTGGTCTGCAGCAATGAGGTCCTCCAGAGCTTCGCCTTCATCTTCAGAGTCCGAATGGCCTGCACCAGTCTGGCCAGGATGAAGCCTCTCATGGGTAGAGTCCGCACCGTAATAGCGGTTCAAGACATCGGGATGGACATCTTCATACCCATCATCATAGACTCCATGCTCCAGCTGACCAAGAAACCTCATGTCCTTTGGGAGCAATGTAAGCAAAGAGACGTGGAGAGTGATTATACAGTTACGGACCAGGGGTGTTTGATCGTGACCCTCCCCTGAGATGGGATGATGGTTCCACTCCTCTTGGAACGCCCTGCAGTCATCCCGGATGCTGTCCAAGAAGAGTATGTGGAGCAGCCAGAGGTGGGTAGGATCACTGTGATCAAGTTGGTGAAGCCGCTCAAGTCGCATGAAAAATCCCCGCCATCCCCGAGCAAATTGGGAGCCCACTTCTACCCAGAGCCGCTCAATACGGGTATTGCGGGTAGAACTGGAGTACATTAGTTCACGGGTGCTGGATCTAAAGAGCATGTTCATACCTGCCCCACATGTATGATGCACGATTTGGTCCCCGGTGTTTTATCATCCATACTGCAACTTCTATATTCTCTCCGCCACGATCACCTCGGACCCTGGATGGTAGTCCATACTTTGCAATACCTTGCATAAATAAATCTAGCACTGTGGATGCTCGGTTATTCGTATTGACTTCTATCCCCACAATCTATAACCAGAATTAATGAGATGAGTGCCAAGGATATTTGTTACCTGGGCTTACGGTTCGACAATAGCCATCCACCATACCATGAATGACAAAACCCCATCGTATAAGCTTGTGATAACCATCCATATGCCACAAGTAGTTCGGACGTGGTACCTTATACTCTCGGCGGTCAATTGCAGCATGATTTCGGAGCACTTGGCCAAGGCCGTCAATGCGATGTAAAGAGCTTCGGACACGTCGCTTCTGGACCCGTAGGCCGTGTCGTTTGAGGAAGCCTATGACATAACGAAGGCCAGAGGTTGGGCGATGTTGTTTGTAGAGCTTGATCAGCATGTCTATATCGCCATCGGAGATGTTGGAAAATCTACGGTCTACCCCATGAAGCTTGAGTTGCTTGCTAACTGCATTTCGGTGCATGCCAAGAACACTGGCAAGTTTGCTGATCGTGATTTTGCGGTGGGAGGACATGGCATCATGTAACCAGGCAGGATCTATCTCTTTGCGGGGCCTACCACGACAGCCAGAGTGGACAATGGTGACAGGTACAATGCGGTGTATTTCAGCTTGCTCACTGCTCATAAGGCATGACTTTCTGCTGGTACAAATAATAATAGCAGCAAGATACGAACACACCCTGCGCTGCAAAGGCAGCATCTTCCAACTCCACCACTATCTTAGCCAGTGCGTGAGCACAGCCAGTGGCCCACTGGTCATCAGCCACTTCATGGTGTAGTGCATCCAGGATGGGTATCATTCGTTTGTAGATGCGCTCAGAGTGTAACCGTAGGCGAAGTGGATCACCATCTTCTTGTCGGAGCAGTTGTGAAGCATGGGTGTATGATTCGGATAAGAGCTCGTGAGCTTGGAGGACATTTCCAGACCAGTTATCACCTTCAGGGTGAGGAGGAAGAGCAGGAAAAGAGACAGGGCATGCAGAGTCCATAATGTGGTGGAATGAAAGTTGCAACAAAGATGTCCAAGTGGCCACACTTGAGCGTTTCCATATCGGGTTGGAGCGACAGTCGCTCTCAATTCTCAACTCAATATTGACAGGAGCAGACTCATGCCAGGGGCTCACCATCCACTCTTCTACTATCCAGACGGGTCATTAATTATACAAGTGAGCATTGGATATATATTCAATCTAATGGAAAATTGACGGGAGTTAAAGGTCGGTGAAAACAGTACCCTCTACAACGTCCACTTCAGCCTCCTTGCCGACCGCTCAGAAGTCTTCCGGAACATGGCTTCATTGCCTACTCCAGCGCATGGGGTGCAAGATGGGCAGTCTGATGACCAACCCCTGGTGCTGCCGAGCTGCATCAATGAGAAGGAAGTAGACCACATCTTCCGGTACCTGTTTAAGGGGTGAGTGCTAATAGACGAATCACAAAGCCTGCCAACTCTGCTTACCTGGGTGCAGCTGGTCAAATGAAAACGCTAGCGAGGAGGAACTCATTGCCATCCTCAAGTTGTCACACATGTGGGAGATCACAGATGCGCATAACTATGCCATTCAGATGTTGAACAAGTCTACTGTCTCCAACCCGGCGCTTCGCTTCCACCTGGGCTGCACGTACCAAGTCTATGACTGGATTGAGCCAGCATTTCGCGAGCTGATGTCAATGCCAGTCCACGCGATTACAAGGCCAATGGCTCACCTGATCGGACCCAACGCTTTCTATGCCATAGCCAACACACATGCCCAGATTGCTGAACACCGACTTGTGCTGGCTTTCTATCCCTCACCCTACATTGAAGACGTATCCTGCTTCACCTCAGAACAATGCCGTCAGGCCTGGACTACGCAGTGGTGGCAGGGGCTTGCCAAGCATCTCTTACACCCGGATGCTGGCAGGAATGGCCGCCAGATTCTGGACATGCTGGAGACAGTGCGGATCCCTGGAATGTGTCAGGGTTGCCAGGACTTGAACGTCAGTTGGGTGAAGCAGAGAGAGGCTTTAACCAGAGATGAGGAGATGTTCGAGGAGACTATCGCTGACATTGTAGGGCAGTACGTTGTCAAGAAGAAAGCCGCGGACATCCAGCTGGTCGAGGATGGAGGGCAGGAGAATGTCGCCTAGGGTACTCGCCATCATCGGAGGCAGCGTTCGTGGTAGTAGCTATGAATCCCAGTACCAGTGTATACGCGTGCGATGAGTTCAATATATGCGTGCAAGGTGCAAACTGTGCGCGTGTTTGGTTTATATTTGAGTGCATTGCGTATATTAGTGCATTTTCCTTTTTAGTGCATTTGGACCGTCATATAATGGTTCAGATTCCTTGAGTGTATATACATATATCAAGTACTTCTACCAATACATATTCGCTTCTAACGTACCAAAGCTAGCCGGACTCATAACAGCTTGTGAACCAAGTTTATCATATATATATATATATACTGTCTGCTTTTGCGCCACAGACGCGTCGAGGAGAATAAGCAGACGTGGGAGGAAGTCAGGCTGACTACGGATACATGATGTCAGTGCCGAGCTCTCGGCAGACCTTCTGCGGAAGGTGGTCCTACTCCTTTGTGTTTCCGGGGTCCTTCAATAAGGGCCAGGAAAGTAGTGTTTTGACCCCCTCTTGCGAGGAGCAGACAATTCGTAGATGACCCAACCGCAGGGATCTCGTATTCGCTCTACCACTCGAGGTCTTGAACTGAGAGCACCCAGGTCATTCCTCCACGAAATGGTACGCTACCATCTCGACGCAGATCTGGGATATGGCATACACTCCCCTGACTATAGTAGAGCAAGTAGAAAATATATGCTCACGAGGAGGGTACGCGTGCCCTTACGATTATCATCGTATATGGGATCCCCTCGTCGTAAGGGAAGAAATACTTTCAAAGAGCTAAAGCAATGAGGTCAACACCTAGCCGACAGGTAAGATGATGCAGGGATGCAAGCCGACACAGTCAAATCCAGTAAGAACCCAACATACCAGACCCTTTCCGCTAGACGGAAAGCAAAGCGGACAAACATCACCACCAATCTGCCCTGCGAGGGCAGGCGTGCGATCCCGTTCTGCAGCTGTCTCATAGATACTTAGAGCTTCGACATACTTTTCTCATCTCTATACATGACTACCTCTAGTACGGACGTCCGCCAACACGAATTACACACACGGCACGTACCTGTGATATCTGATACCATCCGCCCAAACCGACGCACCTTTTGGAGTTGATACGGGATCAGGATGCAACACTGCCCTTGATAGACGAAACTGGGAAAACAGCGGGCGAGCTGCCTGAGGATCGGCGTTCCCGGAATCACGGGGGAGAGCCGAGTGCAGTCGCTGTTCGTCCAAGCCGCAATGTAGTATACAATGAGTACGTACAAAAAAGCGTCCACACCCGCAGGCACGAGTCGCTGAAGACCCGATCCGGTGTATGTACCCCGACAAGTTGAGAAAACAATATGAAACAGATTAAAAGCAATTCTAAGCGCGTTGCCTAGACGCGGGTATCAGCCTCAGTACGATGCTATGACGAGAGTCATGAGAACTTACGCCATCCCACCATATCCCATAGAAGCCCCTGCTTCAGCAAGTTTACGTGCCCTGAACGCCTGCAAACCGGATACGTTAGGAATGCGCAATAGGAGATGGGATAGCTAGTACTGACTTTACGATACTTGGTACGCTCGTACGTGACCAACCCAACAACGATGAGAGCAATGACGGATATTCCAGCAAAGACACCAAGACCAATAGGAAGTACGGAAAGCTTTGTTCCGGGGAGGACAAAAGCAGCGGCAGCCGAGGTAGAGGCTGAGGCGGATGCAGCGGCGGCTGCAGAGCTGGGAGCGTTCTCAGCCGCTGCGGTAGGCTGAACGGTAGTTGAGGCAGAAGCAGCCGATGCAGAGCCAGAAGCGGAAGCGGATGCTGATCCCGACCCCGAGGCGGTCGCGGTTGCAGCAACAGAAGAGAGGCCCTATAGGTTATTGATCAATATTTGTTCATTCCTCGGTCAGCGATCGTTCTGAGATCTGAAACCCGGCGTACGGGGCGGCCTGAACCCATGTCGCCCCCTCTAACGAGCCAGAGGGTTGGGTAAGAAGTGGATCAACTCACATTTACAGATGGTCCCGACCCTCCACTCGCCGCAGCACTGCTCGCCGCTTCAGCGCTAGAGGCCGTTGCACTTGTTGCAGCCGCCGTGTCGGTTGTGGTAGCCGATGATGAGGCGCTTGCAGTGGCGGCAGAGGAGACTGTCTCCGTCGCCACTGACGAGCTGCTCCCAGACGAACCGCTTCCTGAGGCACCCGGAGTAACCACGCAGGATTTCACCTCACGGACAAGAGGTTCTCCATTATCACCGGTAATGGGGGTGAGAGTGATTGTACACATCTGGGTGACAGGTCCAGAGGAACTAACGAGAGCCACTGTCGGTGGCCTGCTCTCTCTCTCAAACTGAAGGGATTTGGACTCACGTCTGAATCACATCCGTCGTCGTGAAGGTAGTCTCCTGTGTGAGTCCACCATCCTGCCTTCGTACTAAGGTCTCGTAGCGTGATACACCAGCTGGCAATGCGTATACAGAACCAGAGAACAGCCACAGCAGTTGCAGAAATACAAGGGAAAGCTGGACGCGCCGAATCATGCGGGGCGATCGGTGGGCAACGTTTTGCAAGGAGGGTTTGAATGAAGGAGTGGAGGCCGGCTCCTCTAATGTATGGGCGGCGACGGCACTGACGAAGGCGGCAACCGTGAAGAAATAAAATAAAAGACTGGAAGAGCCCCCAGGGCAAGAGCAGGAAAGGCGAAGGAGAAAGAGAAAGAGGACAATGGAGACGACGGTATACAAAACACCAGCTCACGGGCCCGGCGCGACCTAGATGCTGTGCGACAGGTCTCGTTCACTATTGGAAGTCCGACAACTGATATTTGTATTGCCACCTATCGCCACTACGAATTCCTCTAACAAGCTTGTAGTCCCTCTACAGCGGGATTCTAATGCCTCGTACAACCGGCAAGACCCTTCTCAGCAACCGGCCGACGGTTCAATCACCCGATCACCGTCAAGCCGTGAGGACTGCGGCTGCAACATCCTCGTTGCAATAGCAACAGAGCGAGAGATGCTGGGAAGTCATCCGCAGCCACGCCACATATACTATCGCATGCCACCTTCGACAGCCTTGTATATCTTGCCTTCACGGACACGTCGATGTCCCTTGAAGAATTGCATCACGACGCCAATGGCCTGTGCGACGAACTGCGTCCCCCAGTGTTCGAAGGTCATAGAGAGCGCAACGTTGAGGACCACGGCCAGGAATAGTGTGATCCTTGCGGAGAATGGTAGCGTCATGAGTTCCAAAATTGCAGACAAGAACCTCGGAGGCCGCAGTAACACCAGGATATTGAACAGAGATAGCCCGATGACGGCAGACATTAGCCAGCCTACACGCGTTCAGCACGCTCCCCGAGACTAATCTTACTCTTAATGCAGAACACGCACCATTTGTCCACATAGGTTTCCGGTAAGGTGGCCCTATGCTAAAAACAGCCGCCACTAGGATGTACTGGAAACATGACACCAAGAATAACGCAGAGTTTTCGTAATTGCTGGCTTGTAAATGATTGTCATCACCGCTCTTAGGGCCGCTTTGACGAGGTGGGGTATACCTGGCAATCGCTCAGCCTCCGCGGCATACGCGTATGAAGGGACACTGACCAATCCTGGGAACGGACCCAAAAGAACGCCCAGAATTGTACCGCACTTGTGATGACAATTTGACCGATTATACTTGCTAATACTTTCTTGGACACGAGGCTAGCCGTGGGTCGTTTCGGATGAATACGAGAGTAGGGAAGTGTGCGGCCCACTGCGGCATAAGATGAGCATAAATATAGGATGCATTCGAGTGCGAACATACTCGTGACAGCCACCGGAATGATTATGAATAAATCGATATATAGGAACTGCCCGACAGGTTAGTTTTCCGAACTAGCATATGAGACGCGGATTAACGCACCTGGAAGTCTCCCAGTGATGAAGCAAAGGAATACAATAATGTGATTGTCGTAAATTGGATGAGTGAATATAGTGCCCTGGCGGTCCTCGTCAGCAGCCAAGAGCGATGCATGCAATCATTACCACGCACATATACTTGAAGCAGCTAAAACTGGTGACGAGAGCTGCCCTACCCTCTTTGATGACCTCCAGTACGCAGCTAATGTCCGGAGTACGACTGGTAAAGGGCGCTGCGACAGACGCCTCCGCTTCCGAAAGAGAAAGCCCCACGTCTGCGGCCTTCAACGCAGCACAATCGTTAGCGCCGTCTCCACACATGAGAACCGTGTATCCCAGAATTTGAAGTCGTTCTACGACCTCATTTTTCTCGTCGGGAGACATCCGTGCGAAAATCTGTGTCTTCACCAACATCTACGCACGGGATTAAACCCACGTCCATGACAAGCCATGGGGCCACTCACGCGTTGTAACGTCTCCAGAGGTGCATGGTTGATCATCCACCTGAAGACATCTCCAGTGACCACCAGGGCGCAGTCCTGGTAATCTACTTCCTCCGCGTCGACCAACCGGTGAGCAGGGGGTGTCAAAGGCTTCAGGCTGTAATCGTCAAGTTTCCAAGCTGGCTCATCCATACAAAACCACTCCAGCTTTGCAAAGCGAGTCATGGCATTTCCTAGAATAGTGTGACTTGCCTGGGATTGGGTGTTCCTGGGAGCACTCACCTCTAATGAAAATAGGAGAAAACACATGTGCAGCCTGATTGATGATATTGCATTCCCTGGCCACACTGACAGCTGTCAAAGGATTGTCGCCCGTAATCATCCTGATCGCGAGATGCGCGTTCCTCAGCGCCTGTATTGCCGGGGTCGTCCCAGGTTTCAGCTTATTCTCGAAGATGATCAGTCCCAGAAAGCGAAGTCCAGACTCTGCTTGCTCCCTCCAAGATGGTGAGTCATGAACAGGCGCGGCAACATTGTATATCGATTACCTTTTCATTCTCTGAGCTTTTAGCCACGATAGCCCTTCGATGCTCTTCCCAGCCATGGCAATGACACGATATCCACGCTTCGTGTAGTACGAAAGTAGATCGTCATAATCTTCCGGGACTGTTGACCGTTAGCTCAAAAAGGGTATTAACGAGATAGACATTCAGGCCTACATGAATCCTTGTCGCAGATGTCGATCATCACCTCCGGCGCCCCTTTGACAAACACCTCCATACTATTGCTCTTCAGCCGCTTGACTATCACACTCATCCTTCGTAGGGACGAGACGAATTCAAATGTACGGATGACGCCCAGCTCAAGAAAATGCGCATGCTGATGATGGAGACGTTACGATGAGCTAACATTGGAGATCCCTGGACTAACGGACGGACCTTCGCCGGACCCTTGAGAGCGTCTTCAAGCTTGAACTGGCCGCTTCCTGGAGGTCGAACAACGGTCTGAACCAGGGCAGCAGGCCGAGTCTCCCCACTGGATTTTCCCTTTATTTTCCCAGTGCCGGCAACATGACCCTCCTCCAGTGTCCACTTCGTGAACGTAAACATCTTTACATCCAGGGGATCTCCAATGATCTCCCCGTCGACTACCTTCAGTGAATGGCAGGTCGCTAAGGCATAGAGGAAGTTCGCCTTGGCATCCGACATAGGCAAGTCGTGCACGTCCTCAATGAGTTCTCCAAACCTCTGCGCGCTGCGTTCTAGTCCACGGACACCGAGGATATCGAGCCCATCTTCCGTCAATGTGCCTGTCTTATCGAAACAGCAGACATTGACCTTGCCGCTAATGTTCACGCGACTCGGCGCTATGCAAAAGATGCCCGCTTTCCGCAGTCGACCGATTGCGAAGCTGGTTCCAATTGACAGTGTTGCCGGAAGCGCTGGAGGTACGACCACAGTAATCAAATCAAGAGCGCGCAGGAGTATGGTGTGCCACGGAATCTGACGGCTTTGAATACATGTATGTTCATCAGAGGAAACAAGGTGCTCACTCCAAGCCTGACAAACTGAACCGCACTCGCGCAGAAACCGAGTCCGGCAATGCCGGCGAGTACCATGATGAAGCGGATGGAATCCCTGTAAAACTTGAACCCCATAGGTTTAGGGAATAGCATGGAGCGAACTAATGCTCCCTTTGTCGTATTGAACCCTATCAACCTGTCAGCCGAATGATGAGAGGCATTGACGTCCCTAAGGAGCTTACCAGTCCTGACTACCAAGCCGAGAGCAGCACTACCTACGCTTCCATCCGCGGCCAACGCAGACCTGACGCGGACAACCCTTGTCCCGGCATACAAGAAGCTCTTGGCGCTATCCCCGATGACATCCTGGCTGTCCTGCCATCTCGCCAGATCCTGATCCTTGACTGGTACCTTACTGACAGGGACGCTCTCACCGGTGAGCATACTCTCGTTCACGATAGCGTCGCCCGAGAGGAGAAACATATCCGCCGGAAAGAGAGCAAGCTGCGACTCAACCAGATCAATGATGTCGCCCGGTACAAGGTCCGTGGAGTCCCTTTCTGTCCCTGAATTACCGAGTTAGATGTTTAACACGAACAATTTGTGTACGAGGCATACGCACAGCCGCCATCCACATATACTTTGACCATGCACGAAAACCGTGACATTTCACGCATGCGAGCTATAGTCTAAGGAGTGTTAAGAACCATAACGGGCTAAGACATGGATTATCACACCTTTCTTGTCTCGATCAACGTCGTGGTCACGCTGATAGCTGAGATAAGAGCGATGCAGAACGCGTAGTAGTAATAATCATCCAAGGACCAGAGTACAATGCTTGCTATTTGGAACACGTAGAAAGGATGGATGACCTTCGCAGATGACGCAAGACTATATGAGAGCCGTCCCCACCGGAGTCAAATCAAAACGCACCTCGTCTATCAGGAGAGACGCGGTCGATTTGCCTTCGATATCGATAACGTTGGGACCGAAGAGCATCCACCGCTGATGTCTCGCAGGTTGCTGCAGGCCATTTCGTACGCTCCAGACCCCCTTCCAAGAAGGGTCCCTCCAGTCTCTGAATGCACATTGGTAAGTAGTCAATCCTATGGTGAGGGGACGTACTTCAGCATAGAAAATAAGCCAGAACGGGGATCAAGAGCAAATCTAGCATATCGATAGTCGACAATGACAAGGTTATCTAATACTATATCCGCGGGGTCTTCCCTTGTATTGCCATTCGCGTTTCCGTTAGCCTTCGGTAAAGATGCCATAGATGCCGTCTGCTGGACTCCCGACTCGACCCCAGCAGTCGGGAACGCTGTAGAAATGTAATACGGATAATGAACTCTTCGGATGGGGAATAAAGCAATATCTCTGTAGGCAGTCTTGGGTACCATTGACACCAGTATAACGTCAGTATAACTCCGGGGCGTACCTCAACAACGACAAACCCGTCGTCGATATCCTTGAACGCTTTCTCCTTCGCCACCCAGCGCAGCCAGAAATGTGGGAACCAATGGCCAAGCAGACCCAATATACCGCAAGTCAAGATACAGCCAAGTCGCCAGAGATACTGTCGAGCAGATTGGGTCTCGTAGCCTATGAACCTAACGGTATTGTCCTCGTCCGCGATGTAGATCGTCTGCCTGCTCGGCGGTCCCGGAGGTGGAGGCTCATCGGGTTCCAAGTCCAAGTCCATATCAATCCGAGCTTCGTTCCCGAAGATAGGATCAGCAGAGAGCATTGGCAGGCGGTGCTCACTGCCAGTGGGTGATGCAGGGTATGAACCGTAATCCATGTCGCTGACACTCGGGGACATGCTGCCTCGTCGAGTATCCTCCTCCTCTGTCTCCTCCTCATCTTCTTCGCCTGAAGAATAACCCCACCGTTCTTCTTCTGTTTCAGTGTCGACGGCGTAGTCGGAGCCGCTATCAGCGCGTCTGCTGCGGCACGAGATACCGCCAGATGAAGACCGAGCTGAGAAAGAAGGCCGCCGACTGCTGGGGGATTCTGCCTGAGGAGTTGCAGTCCTCCCGAATATGTGAGCAAGGTTCTCGAAGACGGTAGGCTTCGTCGGCGCTGGGGAAGTCGACTGCCTTCGTCGCCGCCCTCTAGTCCGCACCGTGGATGTATCGGCGACTTCCTCGTCATCTTCCGATAGATACTGATCTTCATCGTTGCCGTCACTGGACTTACCCCTAGACCCTGACCTACTTCCGCGACTTCCTATGCTCGTCCGTCGACTTCGACTCTCCATGCTCATTCGCCGCCCGTCCCCGCTGCTTCTACGCCCTAGAGAATGCGACATCCTGGACACACTGCTTGGATTGACGGTGTGCCCCGGACCATCAAAGACTGATCCTTCGCCATTTTCGCCGTACGGCGTGCTGTACTGTGAATCCCTTCTAGTGCGGCGGCGGTTCGCAAGAGCAGCCTCAATATCTATTGGAGCTGCGCCTTCGGTATAATCGAATGACTGACGGCTCCCAGAAGCCATCAGGGAGGAGATAGACGACCGCGTCGGGGAATCTTACAGCACTTGGCAAACAATACAAGGACAAGGACGTAGATCGCACGAGGGACCAGGCGCGTTGAGCTTGAAATCAGCTTGAAAGTTGATGGTGGCGCGAGCTTTCCCAGGCTGGCCAGGAGGGCCCCTACCAGGTTCTCGGTTTTCTCGCTGAACTTCGTATGATAGTTCGTTGACATCTATGCAGTTTAACCGCTTGTTTTTCTGTCGTTTCCCATGGACCCATGGCTACGTCTATTTGGAAGTGGTCGCTCATAACTAGATTGTCAATGTCCATCCGTTTGAACCATTTTGTTATAGGCGACGGTTGTTCTCTTGAAAGAATCTGCCATTGCACCATCGCTAGTAGACTGTATTCCTTGTAATCATGGATAAGACCTCCTTAGAATCAGTGGCAAAAGACGGAGAAATCTATGGTTGGCATCACGTATGATACAGTAGGAGTAGGAGCTTGAGCAAGGGGCGGACACCGGGAGATGCCGAGACCACATGCAGGGGGAGGGGGGGGACCTCGGAGCCCTTAACTGAGATTTATTATCAGTTAAGCGCCCAGCCATCTGGGGTAAGGGGGCTAACGGGTAGGTATCTGGCACACCATTGGGTACTTTTGAGTAACCTAAATGCCTTTCTGAAGTATCCCAGAGGAAAGCGGTGAGAAAGAATGACCCCTGGTAGCGATCTTCAGAAAAACATATGAATTGTGACCGAAGTAGATGTGACACCCCCCGTGACAAAGTAACCCTAACCCATGCTTGCTATACGATATACCTTCCCTTTATGTACCGTGAGACTGTTCCACGGGGGGAGGGGGGGTCCCCTGGAGACCCTTAACTGAGATTTGTGGCATGTGGTCTAAAATTTTATTTCTGTCCGCCCCTTGAGCTTGAGTACACGGAATTGTGTTATCTTACTGGCGGCGTTACTAGAGCCCCCTTCGTCGTGTAGCGAGTCTGCATCCGATCCTGAAACAAACATCAGAGATGGTTCAGAGTTCACTATGTAAACATATTATTGTTAAATACCCTGAATTATCTAACTACATGCAAGGTGGTAGGTAGTAATGTTACGATCAGCTCTTTGTGGCATTTGCCACATGCCTGGACGCGTCAAGGTCACGTGAAAGGCTGTTCTAACCCAGTGCCGAGCATGAGACCCATATTGGGAGCGATCTAACCGGAACCAGCGTGAGCCTGCACCTCCATGCACTGCAGCCTCGAGGCATCGCGTTAGTCGGCAGGCTACCCAGGTAGCTATCTCCCACCCGCTCTCGGGAGACACTCGGTCGTCGCCACTGTCTGGGAGCACGGACTCGTTCGCGATGGCTAGAGTTTATGCAAATGTTAACGCCTCTCTCGGGAGATCGTGGTACGATTACGGTGCGTGACGGTGTATTGGTTAGAATCACAATGAAAACTAATGTCTGAGATGAACGGATTCGTTCCGCATAGAGAGTTTGCGTGTTGAATGGAACGGGCCCGATCGGTATGAGATCGTACGGAGAGTAGGCGGGGGAAAGTATTCAGAGGTATGTTATGCTAATATCTCACGAATGAAACTCACGGCGAGTTCTGAACAGGTTTTCGAAGGCGTGGACATGGTGAACGACGACAAATGCGTGATCAAGGTGCTGAAGCCAGTATCTTCCAAGAAGATCAAGCGGGAGATCAAGATCCTACGGAACATCACCGGAGGACCGAACATTGTCTCGCTGCTGGACGTCGTCCGGGACCCGTCTGCGCGCTACCGGAGTTTAGTCATGGAGTACGTCGAGAACGTCGAGTGGAAGTACCTGTTTCCCCGCCTGACGGAAGTGGACATCAAATACTACACGTTTCAGCTGCTAAGAGTATGTTCGTCTGAATCACCAAGATTCGGTCCATTGATATGGCTGTCAGGCACTGGACTTTGCCCACTCTCATGGGATCATGCACCGAGACGTGAAGCCTGGGAACGTTATGATTGATCACCAAAGGCGTAAGGTAAAGCTCGTCTCATCAAACAGACCGTTTATTTTGTGTCGATTGATATATCCGACAGCTCAGATTGATTGACTGGGGTCTCGCCGAATTTTATCATCCCGGTACCGACTACCACATCCGCGTCGGCTCACGGTACTGGAAAGCGCCGGAGCTGCTTGTAGGGTACCAGAAATACGACTATAGCCTCGATATTTGGGCGCTCGGCTGTATGTTTGCTTCCATGGTACGCGGCCATTTCTTCATCCACCTTCAGCACATGTCGCAGCCGGCAGTGGAATTTTGACTCTAAGGTTACTGTGCATTCATATAGATCTTCCGCAGAGAACACTTCTTCAGAGGAAGCGACAATCAGGACCAACTCCTGAAGATCGTGAAAGTGCTTGGCACAGATGACTTCGACAAATACCTCGACCGGTACGATATCGAACACGAAACCAGCTTGGACGACCTTTTGAAACGGTGAGCGTCTCTCACATGCCTTTATCCTCCCAACTGATCTTCAAGGGGGATCCCGGGACACGCCAGGCATCCAAAAATACCATGGCAACGTTTCATCAATGCGGAGAACCAGCCTTTCGTGTCGTACGAGTCCCTGGACCTCCTTGAGAAGATGTTGAAATACGATCACCGCGAGAGGGTGACCGCACGCGAGGCGCAGGCGCATTCATACTTCAGTAAGTCCCGAGCTCCTGCCGGTATCTAGCGCGCCTGTAACTCACTATTATATCCGCCAACTTCCCTTATCACAGATTCTGTACGGCTGGAAGCCATCTCCGCGCAAGGGGAGTGCGTGAGCGACTCTGGGTTCTGTTCCATGTAACAATAGTTGTTTGTATGAGAGGTGTCGGCTCGCTGTGCATCGCTGTCGTGGCTTTGAGACGTTGTTCCATATCTATCCAGCTTTCCCGGTCTTGTTATCCACCTTTCATTTCCTGCCATAATTAACGGGTCTCGGGAGAACCGAATGGATCTGAGGCGCAGACAGGAAGTTCGATCCACGAGTACGGATAAGATCGTGTCCATCATGATTTATTAACTATTGATCGTCCTTGACTTCCTGTATTGGACATTTAGAGAGGCATTGCATTATGAAAGGTAGATATCTGTAATCAAGGAACGCCAGACGCACCCGAGATGGACGCCATGCAAAAGCCAGGAGGCGCGAAACACGGGGTGACCCTTCGTAGCCTCGTGGCCCGACCTTATTTCAGTCGCGTAGCATACCTGCGGGGTAGCTCACCAGCGATACCTCAGTATTCACTCAAACGAGCGTCACTATCTCTATTCAATCCCTGCGACACCCACCCACTGCTGCCATGCCATACACGCAGTACGCCGACCTGCCGGGTCTCAGAGTGCCCTCGAGACAGGTGTACTACGACGCCCCTGCACGCAAGCTGCACATAGCAAAAGGCGTTCCTGCAGAGCTCGTAGCGCCTCAGATCTCCCGACCTCGTTCGACGCCGCTGCACCACATTCCCCCCAATCACAGACGACACGCGTCCGACGGGGAGAGGTTCGAGGAGATATATGCGTGGGTCGCCGACCAGGACTTCCGCGGTCAGAACGGGAAATATCAAGATGTCAAGAGGTGGTTGGCAGACCAGCGCATGGCGGCAGATGCTGCTGAGTGCAGACCCGGGTCGACTTTGGGCTGGGGAGGCAGGGAGAACGTTGAGGTCCTCGGGCGGGAGCACCGGCGACGGAGGGTCGACACGATGCTGAGCAGCTACCAATCGCGCGTGGATGCCACGATTGCGATGTCGAGGCAGCAGGAAGCGGAGGCGCGGAGACGGGATGGGGAGCGGGTGAAAGTGGTCGCAGAGGAGATGCGGAGGATCGACGAGAGGATACGGATTAAGCGGGAGATGGAAAGACAGAAGCTGATGGAGGAGAGGAGGGCGCAGGAGGAGTACAGACGGGAGAGGCGGAGGACGGAGCAGGCGACCCTCAACCAAGCCATTACGGACGCTTGGGAGAGGTACGAGACTCGCTGGGACAAGCTCAAGATGCCAGACTTCGACGAGGCACTTACGTTCCGCACTATCCCGTGGCCTTTGACGTACATTCCGAAGACGATTGAAGATATTCACCCGCACGCGATCACCTTCTTCCTCCTATCGCCCCTCCACTCTGAAGAGCAGCCAAGGAAGGAGAGGATACGCAGCGCTCTGCTTCGCTGGCACCCGGACCGGTTCCGACGGCTGTTGGACAGAGTGGAGGAGACTGACAGGAAAGCGGTAGAAGAGGGCGTTGGGGTCATCACACGATGCATTAACGACCTCTTGATGAGAGAGCAGAGCTTCTCGGCATATAACTTATGAAGAGTCTGTTAAGGTTTTTTTCCTGTGATTACGACTCTGCACCTGATGCAACCTACGATTCAATGTATCATTATATCACGAGCATAGTAGAAGCGCATATGTAGCGAACTTACCAGTCGAGAATGATTCAGACCTGAACTTCACGTAGTCTCAGACCTCCAAGATGAGTTACCTTCTGAACGCATGACGGTGCTGCAAACCTTCAGGCGGTGGATGCCGAAGCCTTTGTCTGTTTACGACTGGAACTCAGTCAGACCCTTCAAGAGTCTCGAACGAGGATACAACAGGACAATGGAGGTCATCAGGATCACCATACATCAATCAATGTCGACACTCGCAGAGGATCTAACACATCACGAAGAGCACCAGCCATTCAGACGTCATCTCAGTCGCCTCAGCGGACCGACATCCTCGCCACAAACGAAATAAACGCATCTGTAGCGTGAGGAAGCTCCCCTTGCATTGCTTTCTTGATCAATGCCAAGAGATCCTCCTTCACCCTAGGGATATGCCAATTCTGGCTTAGAACGGAGACCTCCATCTCTCGGATTTCAGCATATTCTGGTCTATGGCAACAGGATGGCAGTCAGTCCTTTGGGGTAACCACGACGCTCTGGACTTACATTGAAGCGAATCTAGAGAAAGCCTCTTTGACAATATTCGTCCCGGAAAGCTCGGATTTAATGGCTAAAAAGGCTTTCTTCTTCAGCTCCTCGAGACCAAGCTGAATGCGCTTATCAAGTTATGCCAACACTGCGCAGGTGAATCGAAGTACCTTATCGGCCAAACGGTACATCGATTTGGGGGAGCATCTCGGCGAATCATCCGAACCCCCCGTCGCCGGCGTCCTTTCTTCACCTTCAATTGCAGGATACCCCGATCGCAGAGAGGCGAAGGAAACATCACCCGTGTACAGGTAGTATATGAGCGCTTTGTATCTATAGCACGGAGATGAGCCATCTGTTCACGCTGGTCCTTCAATGTAGAACTCACGTGCGGTACGCTGAGTCGGTCACTACGACAGTGCGCAATGCGCCATCTCGCTCCTCGATGGGTAGTGCAGCGGTATCTCCCACTGTGCTACGGGCAGCGACCCCTGTGTCATCCAGATCTGGGTCTTGCCACTCTGCGGCGCGATAAGACTCGTCCTGAGTGTCTTCCGAACAATCAGAGAGGTCGCTGTCTGAGTAGTAATCGTATTGGTCTTCGTTGAGAGCACTGATGGATGTGCCCATAAATCTCTCAGAGAGTACTATCAGCGAGGACAACCTTCGGAAACGTCGGGAGGATAAAATACGGCGCACTTACATGGCTCAAAGTAAGCGCAATTCGTCTTTAGAATGGCACTGTTGGCGAAGAGAGCTAACGGTGCATCAACCCGACCGGACTGCCTGCGTCGCGAAAAGACAAGAAACTTAGTGTCATTGAAAGAGCCACCCGAAAGGGTGGTGACCAGCGTTTGGTTTAAGGTAGTGCGTAGCGACCCGGAGAACGATGATGGCAGCGGGTATACAACCCTGAAGGTGACATGGATAAATCCCCGGTTGGAACCGGTCCATGGCAATTCAGAGCCCTCCGATAACGGCTCCAGATTACTGTTTGGAAGCCTGAGCATGTACCCGGAGAGTACTTGTACTGTCGAGTCCTCGGGCAGTTCATCATCTCCTTCAATAACGGATGCAGATAGTTTGATGTAAGAGACTCTGTAGTCCACCGTACGGAGATCCACAGCCGGGCGTACTCTAGCCCGACGTTTCCATGACAGGTATACGCCAAACCGCCAGCCTTCACCGTACTGCTCCGACCATACCGCCGTCTCATCGCTAGAACGCGACCCCGACGGCCGGCAGTCAATCCGGAAAGAAACCTCCTGGCTGGCTTCCAACGTCGATGCTGTTTCGCCGACTTTCTCCATGGATTCGGGGGTATGCCAGACGTTTAGTCAGGGGGGGGGGGCTTTAAGGCCCGACACGCAATCTGGGCTTCGAGTGGGCATACATGTGAGCGCTATATAAGCCCCGATATGCATACCGCAGCTAAGTAGAACTGTAGGCGCCCCATTAAGTGTAACGCGAGGCCTGCCGATTTGGGCGCACGCCAAGTACTGCTTCGCCCAGAACTTGAGCCGTATAGTACGCATACCAGCATTTGGCGTCAGGATCACGCATGTAAACCTGATGGACCCGGAGCAGATGCCGGGAACGTACGAGTGAAACCAATGTCGAATCGAGGGAAGCATGCGCAGAAGAGGTCGTGGGAATCGGATTGAGCAGAACATGTCATTCAGTGTGCAGTACCAGATACATTATCCAACTCTTCTCAGCTGAGCAGACCGGCAATGTCTATGGTGTTCTTGCGCCTGCGAACATGCATGTAGGCCATGCTGTTCTTTCGTAATTTCCTGATCGCGATCACCCAGGCAAGCCTACTGCATGTATGTGGGAGAGCACAGCTCTGCAGAACGCCGAAGCGTACTTGCCTTCGGCCCTTACATTAGGAAGCAGTCATTCACCCCGGCAGAGACTACGCCGTTAGGAGGGTTACACCGAGAGGATGCTCAGCTGCTAGCCTGTAGGGTCCGTTGGCAGGTAGGTGATCCATCGATAGTCATAACCATATGAGATACACTGACATCGTTGATTTGAAAGGCTAGTCGTACATGACGAAGACTTGTCGACCCGAAAAGTCATCCGGCACTCTCCTCCAGAACGAGGGCAGCACAACGAGGCACTCCACCCCCCGCGGCGGGCCAAGGGAGTCCCGTGGGTCTATACGGTGCATCTGATATCACCATGAGGACGATGTAATGCAGGGATGCTGCGTGGCTCTCATACGTTCCCCGACTTCCCAATCGACATCGTTGGGAATCAGCACAGGATACCCATTCAAAGTTGACCCCATGGAACCTTGTCCGACTGGACTAGTCTTCTCGAAAAAGCACACTGAATGTTGCCAGGTGCGAACCTTGTGCGCTCTTTTCCCGGTGAGCCGCTTCCTTGTCATGCCGCTCCAAGCATATCTGATCGAGTTACAATGGCAGACACGCCAGTAAACATGCTCTTGCGCATACTTCTACAGCTAAAATGCAATTTTCGGTCAGACCTGCTGTGCTTTTTGCTATCTCCAAAATGTATAGTGAGTTGCTGTACTAGTATTCGGGTTCGCATTGCCATGAGGTCTCTTCGAGATCAATCTCTTGCAACGGGAACCGCGATCTGTTTGCTATGCTTGTGCCGCGTGATCTGCACTTCACGGATTCTCCAAGGCTGGGCCCTGAGTATACCGATGTCTTTTATGAAGTGAGGGCACATGCATGTTGTGAGACTTCAGCATTATTTCTTCCACTGTGCCCCTCTATTGTGTGAGATCAATAATGCACTCCTATGCCCTTACAGCAGCTTCAGGGGATCCATGCTATGGGGCATAATGTCTTTAGCTGAAGAGCTACTTTGCAGATCATGCCAGTGATCCATATGCTGTTGATATGCACTAACACACAACAACCCTGAAGACCAAGGGAAAACAACCAAACACACCCAGCGGTATGGGTGGAGGTGGTCTAAGGTGATTGAAGGGTAATAATAAAGTTCAAGGGGGAGAAGAGGAGTAAGACAACATGGCCCGTAGGAAGACATAAAGTAATAAAATAAAACCTTGAGGCCTGTAACAAACAACAAAATGATGCTCCAGAGTATTTATCTCCAAAGGTCACTAATAGACAGTACCGCGGGCACCAACTCCAGTCATAGGATAGTGCACACGGGGGTGGGATTGTCCTAAAAATGCTTTGTTATCCTTATTTCTGTTAATACACACTCATGGGAGCTGATATTCAATGGCAAAGATAATCAATTGGATGGGTCAGGCTTATTGGCAAAGCTAAGATTGATCACAATTTGCTAAGTTTGACACTTCCAAAATTTTTGGGTCACTGAGACTTTAACTCTGATATGCTGAGATGGTGAAGAACAAACTTGTTTTTGTTTTACTTTAGGGCCTGTTCAGTTGCGCGGGTAGGGTAGGGTAGGGTAGGGTAGGGTAGGGTTAGCTTGGTCCTCAGTTTCCCAGCGGTCCCAGTGGCATCTATTCTCACCCTGAGTCACAGAGTGTGACATGCGCTATTTATGGATGGATCCTGCTTCTTCAAGTCTGGAGCTCAAACCCACGTGCGTCTATTCCTCATTTGAGCAGTGCAATGGTTCTTCGGCAATGGCCAGCTCTGCTGATTGGCCAAATACTCTAAAACCGACTGGTCAAGCTTGGCTTACCGGCATTGTGCACAGATGCCCATACAGGTGCGGTCACTCTGGTGACAGACCTGGGGCTAGACTTGAGTCCACCGAACACGTTCTGCGAGACCTGCGAACGGGAAATTTCCTCAGTTGTATCCGAAACACCACAAATTTCCTAATCCGTGCACTTTAACCCTACCCTACCCTACCCTACCCACGCAACCAAACAGGCCCTTACATTGTACATTTTATACTACAGAAATGGCCCTGCGACCGCTCACAGATAAATAACAAATAACTGCTGCAACCCCCTAACTGCTCTAGTGATGCTGCGGTCCGGCTCGGTCCAATTATTGGCCTAAATTTCTGGACCTGGGACCAGACCCAAGGTCCAGTTCGGGTAAATGTCTGGACCGTTGATAAGCCTCAGGATCGTCTGACCCCTGAAAATGCGGACTCAGCACATCGTACAAGCCCCCCGGAGCTTATTCGACACAGCGCTCACACGCCTCTAGGCTTCTATGGGCTCTAAAAGAATTTTTCTATTTAGCTCCGGACTTCCTAGCATCCCGAGACGTACACGGACCCATTCCGCGATTTATCTCCGCAAACGTGAGCTCCGGGGTGACTTAACCTATGCAACTTTTAGATGAATTAGCTCCGGGGCCCACGGACGCTTCTATTGAGGGGCGTCATCCTCATGCCCACCCTCCAGCACACTCCCCCTCTCGTTTCCATCAAGCTACCGAAGGTGCGGATGCATACGAGTCACCATCAGGCCAGCATCAGTCAGCAAGTGGCCGGAGGTAATTAGCATGTGACCGGCGCATCACACGGAGTGATGGGACTGCTTGGGTCAGGTGGCGGAGCGTCGAGGTGACCTCTAGGGGCTGGGATGAGCAAGTGGGAGTGCAAGAGAGTCGTATAGTGTATGGTATAACACCGGCAAGTGCTGAGCAATCCTGTGGGTAGCGGCATTTATTTGTTATTTATCTCCGGACGGTTGCAAAGCCATTCCTGTAGTATAAATTGTACAAAGTAGCATACAGAAAAACAAGTTTTGCACTTCACCATCTCAGAGAATTAGCGTTATGATCTCAGCGAGCCTTGAAGTTTGAAAGCGTCAAACTTAGCGAATTATAACCGATCCTAGCTTTGCCAATAGGCCTGACTCGTCGAGTGATTTATCTCCGCCGTTGATTGAATTATCTCCAGTGAGTCCTACATAGTGAAATAAAATTAACCAAGTCTCTCTAGCAATTTCTACCACCGCGGTGTCAGACAATGTTATCGTTCGAATGCCAAACTGCGCTGTTGCCACACGCTGAATGTCGTCCCCCTCCAGGCTGGAAGTGTACCACTACTACCAGCATCAAGCTGAAGAGACCTGTACATACAGGTCGGTCTTGGAAGGTCTGGTAGATGCGGACTTCAACAACTGGTTGGGGGTAGGAAACGAAGACCTCTATGACATATCCTTCGAGCGCGCCAAGCACCTTCTGTTAATGGGAGAAAGGATGAGGGCAAGTATTGGGAGAGGAACTGTGTAGAATGCTCTATAAGGACTGAAAGTGTTCCATGATTGGCCAAGGATCGTTCTCACCTTATTGTTTACCACTTTCCCATGCCTATTGTTTTGGCTTAGTCACCCATGTTCTCAAAGCTTCAGGGATTGGCTGGAGTTGGATGACTCATACCACTCTCTCACACTATTGTTACCCCTTTCTCACACTATTGTCTCCTCCCAAGTATCTTCCCACCCTATTGTTTGTAATTTCAAATTACTGTAGGGTATATAAGGAGCTCAGTAGAGAGAGGAAAGAGAGGATCAATCTATCTGGGATCCCCCAATAAAGCTATTTGCCTGTCAAGTCAATCAGACCTTGTCCCTACTGTGGGATAAGAATTGTCTGGACTCTGATTGTCTGAAGCACCTCAGTGTAGGGAAGGACTGCAGTACTGTCTGCTGTCTGCTTCAGTTAGCTTAAGTCTGTCTTGGAATATGAGACTGGGTTATTGGAAGTCTGCCATTAGACTCCTGTGACCTGTGTTAGCTCTCTACCTTCATTCTCAGCTAGACTCTAGTAGTCAGCTACCTATTTAGTATCTATCAGATTACCACCACAATATCAGGGTCTGTGTTAATTGGAAACTTATCTTACCTCTCGAACACAAGGGAACTGCTCGACCAACGTTAAATCCAGCATTCTCTTGGGGAGCTTGACGACCTTTCCACTTAGTAAATTCTAGGTGGATTTATATCCGTCGCAAGTTCAGCTGACAGTGGGCACGATCCTATGACAGGTGTCGTTGCTTGCAACTTTGATTGCGACTCTTCGGAGATAAATACTCCGGAGCATCAGCTAGCATTTGTTTTTAGGCGTCAAAGTATTTGTTTTATTTTTCTAGGTCTTCCTATGGACTACCCTACGACGTCTTACTCCTCCTTCCCCCTCGAACTATTAAAATACCCCTCAGTTGTCTCGGACCACCTCCACCCATACCGCTGGTGTTAAATTTATTTCTTTTGGTCCTTGGTGATTGTTGTGTGTCAGTGCATATCACCGTGAACCACAAAGAACCTGAAATGGCGTTGGGTCCGGTCAGGTTTGGGTTTGAACCCTTCAGAATTACCATACTTAGGTATGGTTCGGGCATTGTGGCTCCTGGACCTCACTTCAGGTTCGGTCCAGTTGGCCTTATTTCGCCCCTACAAAGCACGAACAAACAACACTAAATCTGGAAGGTGAGTCATGTGACCTCCGCCAGCGCCGGGCAGTCACACGCTCAAGGCCGCACAGCCACATTTAGAAGTAGTACATACTGTTGGTGTTCTGTTCACTCAGAAGCAAATTAAAAAAATTTTCAGAATGAAAATTGTGTGATACAGGGTGCATAAGTACTACAGAAAATGATTGAATACTGCTCCAGATACGAGTTACAAAATAATTGTGTAGCATTAAAAGTACCCCGCGCAGAATCGAACTCAGTAGCACCAAGGATAATGTACTTGACGCACTATCCATTACACCATTCAGTCTTGAGAAGTCACAATAGTAATATTAATATATTAGTGCTAGGGCCAGGGCGGCTTCCTAATAGAGCAGTCGACGGAGCCTTTGGAAGGTCACATGATTTACCTGCCTGATTTGGATTGTTTGTTCATGCTTTGTAGGGGCGAAGTACCAAAAGTGGTTCGGTCCACCCCAAAGCTGGACTGCAGACCAGAACCTGGGTCCAGTCCGAGGTTCGAACCGGTTCTCCCAGGTTCAGGAACCGGACTGTGGCATCACTAAACTGCTCAGCACTCCTCCACCACTATACCACATACTAAATGACTCCCTTGCAACTCCACATGCCTGCCCTAGCTCCCAAAGGTCACTTTGATGTGTCAGTACCTGCCCTGAACCTTCCGTCAGGCCGCATGACATGCAAGTCACGTGCTAATTATCTCCAGCCGCTTGCTGACTGATGCTGGCCTCATGGTCATGGATTTACATCCCCAAGCTCAGAAAATCAATGGAGACAAAGGTGAGGAAGCTGAGGAAGCTGAGGATGAGGATGAGGATGACTCACAGTGAGACAGGTGTCCATGGCTGCCAGAGTTTGATTCTTTGTGAAGTTGCATCCTGAGTCACTCTGGAGCATCTGACCTCAGAGCTAATGCTTTGCAGCAATCAGTGTTGGCCTTGAGGACGCTAGGAAAGCCGGACTTAATTCAATAAATATTTTGGACCAATCCTAGCATAGGGACATGTGAGTGTGACATCAAATATACTCTGTAGGGTGTGAGTGGATGTGCTGATTCTGCGACTTTGGGGGTCAGACGATTCTGGAGGCTTATCATCAGCACACTCTCTAGCACCATAACCTTACAACTTTTGCCTCTGGAGCCTGGGCCAGGTCTGTACAGGCTGAAGTGAGCATTGTTCCGTGCCACTTGTTATGCATTGTGAGAGTTACATCATTTGCAAATGTTTGTCCAGAGACTGAATCCAAATCGCCCAAAGGTTCAGCTGAGCCCCATCCAGGTACTTGGAGGTGTGGCCATTGAAAATTGAACAGCTCTGTGAGAGATATGACACCCGAAAGGTGGAAGACAGGTTCCCAAAAATAAAGGATGCATGGTGGCATGGTCTCCTTGGATCTCCTTGCTTTGCTCTTTGATATGCTGGGCCCTTGGGTTATGACAGCGGTCTCTTTCCAGGATACATAGAGGATGGTTGCTGCAGTTTCTGTGTAATAGGTGACCCAGCCTGGTGTGTGTTGTAGAAACACTATGGAACTTTGTGACTGTGACTAGCTAGCTGCACACAGATATCAATGTATGACATATTTCTGTGATGGATTGGTGGAATTCTGTTACATGCTGCACTTACATAGGAGCCTTGACATATTGGGAACAATAGAAATACCTGTCAATATCAAACAGCCACCATGACAGATGCTCTGCCAGCATTTATATGATGGTCTCCTGCTGGACTGCATGTCACGAATGTGTCGCAATTCATAGCCTGGTCCTATGCTGATTCTGTAGGCCCATCTAACACTGCAGGTGTTGCACCATTTATGAGGTGGGAAAATGTTGGTTGAAAGACATATCAAGTGGGTTATATTTACAGACATTTCTCTGAAGTGTCAACATATCTGGCCTCAAAATGGTATGGATAAGTCTTTCTATGGCACCAGCTGCCAAAGCTCACTAGTATCTTATGTTCTCTAATTTCTTTGTTTACTGAGGAAATATGGTACTTTAGAAAACTCAAACACTGCCAGGAAATGACTATCCCCAGCATCACAACATTTTGAAGAGAGTAAAAATGTATGGGGCATGTGAAGCATTGCAATCACTCCCCACATTCTGAATAGCCTAATGCCAAAGATAATCTGTTGAGTTCACTTTGAGCACAGGAGAGAGGTTCTTACCAATGTTGGTGGAATGCATTAGTAAATATAATTTCTCCAATATCACTTTTTACCAACATTTTTCTGCTCCATTATTGGTGCGGTGCAACTCCCTCTGTGTAAGGAGCATCGGAACCAGACAACGGGGCAGGTCGACATAAAATGCATGTTTGCCAGGGCAACAGACTTAGGGGCTATCTTCTTCTTCAACAAGCAGCGGGAGAGACAGCGGGTCTGCCCTGCCTGTTGCAGGCTTTATCACATTGGGCAGGGATAGGAGGGGCTACTAGGATCAGTGCCAAGGGGAGAATGGAGCAGGCATTATCCGGCATGTGTTCATACTGTGGTGATGAGTGCTGCGGAGGTTATAGACAGGGGTGCAGACAAGCTAGACCAGCAAGATTACGACAAGATTATGGAGCACAGTACTGATCCATTGCCCAGCAGGGTCAAGTTCTGGAGAGTCCCAAAAGGAGAGGAGAGATTGTTAAGGGACTATGAGAAAGTGAAGGAAGAGTGCACCAGATTGAACTCTACCTAAAGCAGATATGTAGAGGAGCTCGAGGTCAGAACCTGGAGGGCACTCTTGTCTCATACTATTGAACAGGCATAGGCAGGACATCAGTGTGAATTAAGAGAGCTCCTCATCTTCGAAGATGGCGGTCTTGGTTATGCCATCTTCCCTGACAACGCCCCGGTACATGCCCGAACAATTCATGGGCATAGCGACTACGTGTACATGTGTCAGATATACATCAGAACTCTTTAGCAGTTGATGAATACTCACCATTGCCCTCACGGTCAAGGGCAATAACACCGCCCACACCACCATCGGTACGTAGGTCCTCTACTGCAACCTTGGCCGCTTTGGCCAACGGCTCATTCAACAACTTCATCCGGCGAGCAATGGTCGAAGCCGTAGCAAGCCTGATGAAGTACTGTATCATGTTCAGCTGGAGCAGCATGCGACACGATCAGAACCGGCTCACATCTCCATCCCCTGTCCCAGAGATACCCAAACCCTTTGTGGTGTCTTTCCTCCGGACTCTGTCCCAAGTCTTCCTGATCCAGCTTGTCGTTTTCCACTCTTCTGCCCAGAATCCCGCACCCATATGGGGCGTGTCGCCAATCCTTCCAACGAGTTTGTTTGTCTTGCCGCCCGTAGAGGTACACGCAGCGATACATCCCCTGACATCTAATGCTACAGCACCAATTGTGCCTTGAGGGAGTTGATCCAGAGGTAATTCTTTCGGCTCATGATGTCCTGGGTAAGGCAGGGGTTCCTCAGGCAGCCCAAGTCCTCGTCTATGCTCTCTCCACCTTTGTTCAGTGAAGAAGTAGGACGGATCAACTAATATTTCTCCTAAGCTCTCCCCAATGTTCTCCGCGTTCGCTCCAGACATGAAGGTGTGCGGTGCTTGCGCGGGGGACAGGTAGATACTCCTAACCAGCTTCGATGGGTTCCGAGCACGAGTAAGAAGTGTCAGACCGAAACCTCTCCTAGTAGGAGGCACCTCTGGATGAGTCGACGGGGGCTTGGAAAGCATAAGAGATGCCTCAAGCTCGTTCTAGCGCACGTTAGCACGCGTCAACTGCATGACAGTCCCGACCAATGACGAACCTTCCCATCTGTATTGAAGACGGCACCCCTGCCAGCATTGAAGAGCGGACAATCTATGTGACTTTAGACATCGACTATCGATCCGCATTCTTGTTGGCACGTACCTTCCATGGAGGATACAGCAGCAACAACCGCATCCATGGCTTCTCCTCCGTTTGCGAGGACCTCATACCCTGCCTCAAGGGCGGCACTCAGAGCAGCCTTATATTTTGCTCTTTGGTCAGGGGTAGACTTGCGCTTGTCCATAGTCCCCGCGCCGCCATGAATGACAAGAACGTACTTGCCGGAGCTCGTCGGTAGGGCGCGTCTCGCCAGCAGCGCGTCCTTCTCGCTGACGGAGGAAACCATGGCCGATACGGTGATGATCCTCCACAGAGTACCTGTGAGAATACAAGATAACCATAGCGGTCGACACAAATAATGTCGGACTGCAGACGGACGGCATGGAGCCCGGCACAGAGGTGCTAGGCATTCGACTGGCTATGGTAATAACTACATGTGGAAGACAAATACAACGGTTTTGCCCCGGTCCTTAGGTTAGGTCACTTTGCCGGAGTGGTTAACGGGATCGCCTGCTATTACTAGCTGCCAGCGGTTGGGCTTTGCCCGCGTGTGTTCGAATCGCACAGGTGACGCTTTTTGTCTCCCGTATAGACAATGGATATACCACCATTGGCGTAAGGTCGCGACTCTCTCGCCCTCGCACTCCCTCGCGTAGCCAGATTCGAGAATCATCCTTCTACTGCAATGAGCGTCAACAAGTACGCAAACCTTCCTGACATAGTTCGTATGATGCTTCTCTCCATATCGGGCTGATGCGAGTTTCGTCTGTAGGACACCGCACCAGATGTCTATGAGACGGAAGACGTGTTTCCTACCACTGCCACGGTAATTGACGCGTCCTTCTGGGTACCGACACGCGCAACTGACGCTAACATCATCCGGACATCCTTCGTCCTGGCAGAAAGGTGAATCCAGCGATGAAGAGGCACCGTCGAGACCTCCACCACGGACGAAGAACGGAGACGGGAACCTCGAGTTAGATTCTAGTCATCTAATAGGCGCAGATGAGGCTAGCAAGCGATTTAAAAAGGCTGAAAGGAGGCGAGGTGGGCTCCTAGCTCCTATCACTAGCTGATTGTGCGTTCTGATGGCTTTCCATAGCTCACCGGACGGAGTTCACTTATCCGCCCTCCCCTACGTCCGACACGCCGCCCACCCGCGCGAAACCGCTTTCATACCGTGACCGTCTGCGATTGCTTCAAAGCGAGCTGACCACCCTCGAAGCTGAGCTGTCTGATCCGTCGAATCCGGCCTTGCATAAGGAGCGGGAGGAGGAGCACGTCGACCCTGGCGAGCTAATTCGGGGGCTGGTGGACGTGAAAGGACGGCTAGAGAAGATCAGTAAGGTAAAGGAGGGGAGAGGGAGGCTCGTGGAGGCTATCTTGAGGGACGAGAATGACACCCACGAGGACCGGGACAACGAGAAGGACGCGAAGGGGGAGAAGGATGGGCAGGAGAAAGGGAAGGGATTGGATGTAAGAAACGTTGCAGAGATGGACAAGAGGGTCGGGGAGCTGGAAAAAATCATCGGATCTTCTACCACTTCTCTGGATGAGGTACGCTCATACAATGACCACCGTTGTATTCAGGGACAGCATCTGACGCTAACTGTTACTCCATCAGACATCACCTCTCCCGCCGCCTCTTTTGCCTATGCTCACTCGTCTCAACGCCCAACTGACATTACTAACTCAACCCCGCCACATTGATTCCATATCTCGCCGCCTCAAACTCCTGCTCTCCGATCTCGAGCGAACCTCGCATGGTCAAGGCCACGGAACCTCTACATCCCGTAAGCCCCACCATCCCCAGCAACAACCTACTGCTCCGGCACAACCCGTTAGTGCCTCGCCGCTGCTCGAACAGCTCACGCCCCTCCTCACGCGTCTCGCACCCAACCTGCCTCACATCCCTCATATTTTGACGCGGCTCCGGACGCTCAGCGCGCTGCACACCAGTGCTGCGGAATTCCAAAGCACGCTAGAGAGTTTGGAAGAGGATCAGCGCAAGGTAAGGGAGGCGCTGGAGGATTTGAGTAAGGCGGTGACGACTGTTGAGAAGAGTTTGGAGGAGAATAGAGGAACTGTTAAGGGGAATGTACAGGGGCTGGAAGATAGGGTCGAAGGCCTTGTGAGCAGGCTCGAAGAGCTCAGCCGGTAACGTGCTTCAGGAGTTTCAGTAGTCCTTGAACACATTTACATTGAGATACCCTGTTCCTTGGTCAACCACGACAACAATGGATTATGGAATAGGTTTAATATTCCGGACGACTAATGATACAATTAAATTGTGCTTCTACACGCCGCTTTGGATTATCCTGAGCATCGATCAATGATCACAAGGCGTTGTTCGCCTCAAGGAACTCCCTTGCGTGCTGCTTAGCCTCCGCGGATACCCGAGGATCTACGTCAGGCCTGGTCAATACTTGTCCGGATTCGATAGAAACTTTTAAGAGAGCTTACTGTGCAGCGCTGCCTTGTAGCCCGCAAGCACACGTGTATTGTGCTCTTCCTCGGTGACGCCTTCGCCACGCTCGTACGAGTAACCAGCCTGCTCTAGGATCTCACGAGCATGCTGCTTGGCCTGCTCTGACGTATTGGGATCTACAAGAAAGAGACTAAGTATCCTTGCCGTGCGTAAGGGCAAGGAGTGAATGAATCACGTACTGGATAGGGTAGCTTTATAGCCTCCTAGCTGCCTGTTGGTCTCGACACCGGAGCCAGAGTCAACCTCGGCTCCCATGTTCTCGAGACGGTCGGCGGCACGCTCCTTAGCCTCCTCTGAGACGTTCGGGTTGTGGATTGCGGCCTTAAGACCAGCAGCGACACGAGTAGGATCTGCGTTCGCAAGTTGAATCGCAACCAGTTAGTATGCAGGTCGAACTGACGTCTTATAAGTAAGCACGTACCAGACATGTTTACCGAAAATTTCAGTTGCTGAAGCGGTACTTAGTTGTGGGTGTTGGTTTGTGAATCGAAGAGTGAATCTTTGCTACAACTCGAGGGTACCCCCACCTTTATATACCTTGGGCCTCATTCATTGTGCGCCACATTCGGGGAGGTGCATGGATAAACTCGACGTACCTATGACATCACACCGTTGGTGTTCAAACAAGACAGAGAAACGAAAGAAGCAGATGATCCACGGACTTGCACAGCATGATTTGGCGAAGCCAAGAGAAGCCTCGCTTAGATGGGGCACAGTGGTGGCGAGGTGTTCTTTGGCTCCACAACTCCTCTGCAGCTCCGACTGTGTTCAAACCAACACATAGTCATCGTCATCGCAACAGGTACTGTAAGTAGCTTTTGGAGACGCGCCTGAGGCACATTTCACGGAATTTTACCTGCGCTGCAAACTAACAGTTTTTCGCCATTCCACAGGCAGATACAACGCGAGCGGTGTGGCAGCCTTGCCATATATGCTCCAAGTCCTCGAGATGAGCGTTGGACAGTGCGGGGCTGAAAACGTCTGAAACAAATCTGAAAGGATGAAGTTGTCGATCATCTGGCTGAGCCACTGTGACTCCTGCCTCAGGTGACCGCAGTCACGTCCCAGCCAACTTGCTTCGCCTGCTCAGTCGTTCGAAGAGGACAACACTTCGCACCATCCGCAGGGGCGGCGTACCTGTCCCCAGATATACGAATCTTCCTGTCTACGTTCTTGCGGTGAACATCGCTACAATATTGGACCCACGGACTGGCATCTACCGGAAGTGTAGGATACTATCTAAATTCCTTGAAGACAACCATCCTGCAAGGCTGTCGAAGCGAAAAGCCCTCACCGAACCTTACGAAAACCTACGATGAGAGGAATTTGGCCATATTGGGGTCTTCCACCGTGCTCAGCGCGCAGCTCTGTCGCGCACGGTGAACCTAGAGATGTAGCCCAACAGGACGGCGTTTATCTTTGGATTCTGGCACTTGACTCGTCGTCCAATCAGAATAGTTCTGGTGCGACTGACCGTCGCGCGTCGCAGAAAAGTGGCGTTGTGAGGCAGCCGTAAGGGGTCCGGTTACCAGAAAAGCTCAAGACATGACACATCTGGACAAATATCCAGAGCATCTCTTCACCGGTGTTCGGCTCAGGGTCTCTGGTTACCTAGAAGCCGGTCTGTTTTCTCACTATTATCTCAGCCCTACGCCACTCGACTAATCCAGGTCTTCCAGGTCTAAAAGCCTACCTATGACGCTTTGCCACCGATGCGTATACGTGATGACATCTATCTATCGGCCCGACCGACTTCATCCCCCGTTCAGCTTCGCTCTGACTCGGAGGCGATAATTTTCCGCTTCTAGAAGACCCATTCAAGCCTCTCTCCGTCAACGCCGCTCGTCCCAGCTCACCGCTTGTTGTCGGGAGAGGCTTTGTATACGCTGGTTGTGCACTAGTAACAGGTTGGCTCCAGCTTTCATGGTTCCCCTCGAGACGTGCAATCTTGTAAACCCCGGTCCGCATCCTCGTTTATTTTTGGTTGTAATGTAGGAGGGGTTTCCATCCCCAGGGTTACGGGGATAATCACGGTCTTCTTTCTTCAAACTCCTGGAATGCAATGCACCCACCCCATCGAGAAGCGACCCAGATTTCTTTCGCTCCGTTGGACCGACTGACTTACTACAAGGATCCACCAGGAAGCCTCCGAAGATCCTGCGTCTGTCCCTTATCCATGTCTGTACATGAATCGATCCGTCATTGGTGAGGGCCCATGCTGACTTAACCTTGGCGCCGCCGTATGGCTCACAAAGTCTCCATGCAATCCTGAGAACACCGCTCCCGTCCTGCACGAGTGTCATGCGGTCCTCGGGCCGCACCGGTTACAGACTGGGAGAGGCACTGCTTGGACCTACACAATTGCGACAACTCCATGGGCCGTGTGACAGGGCGCCTACCTTGGTCAGTGCATGTCCCAAGTGGCGCCCGCGATCACTCGGACGATATATACAAATAAGCCGATCAAATCTTTCGGCGAAGGCGACTCGCGAGCGATAGGTGTATAAGCCTTGAACAAAGTTTATGGTGCGGTCGTCGACTCCTCTGAAGCAGTACAAGTCAGCAGCGGACGCACATGGCTTCAGCGCTCTGGAAAATACCGTTCATCGCGGCAGCGGCAGCGAGCTTTCATGTAACTGCCACACCGCCGACTACGCCACCGAGCAAGGAAGAACTCATTCTGCCCAATACATGCACAGAAAAACTCCTCACTGATATTCTTTCGCGGATTTCAGGCCCTGGTACTCCGAAGGTGAGGCCGGTTTATCAAACCAGATTGTTATTTTCGCCTCACGCGTTTACACCTAGATCCTCTTCTGGACCGCTAGCCTTTGCGAGATGGCAGTGATTGTTGCTAGCCGGACGTCTTACTCTCCGCTGAGCGATGCGGTTCTTCGAGTGCTGGCTCCAGCTGGCCCTCCATACACTTCATCAATCAACCTTACCAAATCCTACGTCACGGGTTCTGTATTAGCGGTCCTCGGTGGCGCACTACGATACTGGTGCTACCGTACGCTAGGCCGAATGTTTACTTTCCGCCTCAGCATCGTCAGAGATCACCGGTTGATAACCACCGGCCCGTACGGTATTGTACGGCATCCAAGCTATACCGGTATTCTACTCGCCATACCCGGCATTCAGTTATGCATGCTGGGTCCGGGATCTTGGCTGAGAGAAAGCGGGATGCTTGGGAAGGTCTGGGGCAAGGTCTTCCTTGTGTACTGGGGCGTTCTCTGCGCAGCAGCGTACCCTTCGGTGGTGGCTCGGGTGCCCAAGGAAGATGAGATGATGAGGAACCGCTTTGGAGTAGAATGGGAGCAATGGGCAAAACAGGTTGCCTATAGAATCATTCCCGGTATGTATTAGATTGAATTTCTAGCAGTAACAATGACCACGCCATCCAGAAGCTTTAAACCCCCTAACCCTTATGACAGGCTGCGCAGCTGGGACTTACGGATGTAGTACCAGGACATTTGATGCAGCACGCTAGAGACTGACTACTGTGTAGTAAGCGCTTAGTCTCAGAATGTCATGGTCTCTTATATTTTCCGACTAGAGCCTCAATGTGCGCCCGCTGAATTGGGATTGTACCAGGACTAGAGACAATAAGACTACGACACAGGCACCTGGATCAAGGACTACATATCTCAAGGCCTGGATTGAGTGCTGTCTATTCATTATTCGCCCACGCATAATAATGCGCTACAGTGGTGTATCGCCCAGATTCCCGCTACCGTAGGTAGTGGGTCTTGGACCCCCCGGCCGTTCGCAGGTTTCCTGCGATCGTTTCAAGATCTACGCGATTTATTTGACACTATTTGGCTCTTAACCGTATATGGCGGACGGCAGGACCGGCACACGGCTTTGGACCAATCAAAGATGGGGTCCTCAAAGGACCCCGATTGTAGAACCACGTGGCATCTCTCTTTCCATCTTTAGCCAAGGTGGCGGATGCTGGTCAAGGGACTCAAGAGAACAGACATGACCTAGCTTGGGGCGTTGGAGATGCGGTCTCCAGGTGAAAGCAGCATACTTCAATGTCAGCTGTTTTACATAAATGTCTTGTATACTCAGAACCTGAGGGAGGAGTGAGTGGACATCTCTTCAAATCGTTGAGGTGAATGCTCAGTCGGAAATCATGGCTGGAACACAACTGCTTTCGCAAAATAAATATATTAGTATATGATGCTGCTCAGGATGTCA